AATGAGTTTGTTCACAGGGGGTGGAGTGTGTAGGGGATGTCCTGATATGTGTGTAAGGAATGCATTGTGAGAATCTGTGTTTGTATGTGTAAGGGCTGCAAGGTGTGTTTCTGTGTATGTACGGGATGCATTGAGTGTGTGTAATGAATGCATTGTGTGTTTCTGTGTGTGTAAGGGATGCATTGTGTGAAACGGTTGTATTGCTTGTGTATGTGTGTCTGTGTGTATAATGCAGTGTGTGTTTTTCTGTGTGCAAGGGGTGCATTGTGTGTGATGAATGTCAATCTCCCCCTTCAATTTCCTTTTCTCCCCCTCCCAATTTCTTTATTTATCCCCCCTCCCAATTTCTTTCTCCCCCCTCCCAATTTCTTTCTTTATCCCCCCTCCAATTTTCTCCCCCCTCCCAATTTCTTTCTTTATCCCCCCAATTTCCTTCCCCCCTCCCAATTTCTTTCTTTATCCCCCCCAATCTTTCTTTATCCCCCCTCTTTCTTTACCCCTCCCAATTTCTTTCTCCCCTCACAATCTTATTTATCCCAGCTCTACAATTCGGCGGTTGCAGCATGAGGGGGCGGTGTCTAGAGCCCCACTCCCAAAGCCGGACCCCCCCTTAACGCCACTGATTATAGCTTCTTGTGTACTATATCATAAAGCAAATATATTGCTTACCCTTACTTCATGTTGGCCATCTTTAAATGAACACTATAGGAATAGGAATAAAACATGTATTCCTGACCCTATGGTGTTAAAACAGATTTTAGCAACCTGCCTAACACTTGCACATAATACCAGGATTCATGGCACTTTTTATTTGCCAGGCTGGATGTTGTGTTTTTGTGAAGCTATGTTTTGAATTTTTTATATTTTGACCTAAAGTGTGAAATTCTCTGAATTCCCAGCATTTTAACATTTTATTCTCAATAACCCTGTACAGAAATAGAATGGTTCTAAGAATGGAGAGCAAAAATATTGAGATAAATTAGATCTGGAGGTAAATACTCTGGGGAGGTTAAAATTTGTAATTTTTTCCATTCAGTTTTTTGGGATAATTTTTCTGACTAGGGCAATGTGTGGTTAGAGACACATATGTCCTGTTTTATTAAAATCTACATTGGAATCACGGAATCATGTTAAATTGTATCTTTGTGAACTGGGTGTGCAACTAGAACAACAGGCTAATTCGTTAAACTCTGAATTTGTGGGAATTAAATCTGAATGGCATGGACAATTTATTCAGATAAGCTATTTTTGACTCATTTTTTTCCATTTGGATTTAATTTGTGAAAATTTAGGGTTTGAATAACCCTGCAAGTTTATTCTCATCTTTAGAAAGACAAAGACATTATGAAGGCTACTTATAGAGGCCTTTAGCATAAATACATGTCAAATGTCTAAACATCCAGATGAGGATTTAGTGAAATCTAGCGAAATTACCTACTGCTTACTGGGTGTCTTTCAAGTGAATCTAGTCATGACACTTCTATAGCAGCTACTTAGATTTACACAGATTAGGATTTTTTTATTTCGTAGGACTGTGATTTTCATTCGGTATTTGTGAATGGTATATCTGTGAGACTGTCAGCATTTTGTTCTATACAAGTGGGCTTAAAAGGATAATCTAAGTACAAAAAAAACCACTTAAACTAAATGCAGTGGTTTTGGTTCTCAGGTGCGGTCAATTTTTTTTTAAAACAATACAATTTCTCAGAAATAGAAAAGTTATTTTTGTCTAAAACCATGCTTGTCTTAACACAGCTAATGATTCACTATGAGAAGTATTGGATTGACAATTCAGTCTTGAATACTTCTGGTCAGTTTTGTTAATTAGTTATAATGAGCTCTAGTTACAGCTACAAAGACCCATCTTTATTCCATTCACACTGGGTAGAAGCAATAAAGATTTGTTTTGGGTTGGCTGCCCCCTGGTGGATAATAGCAGGAATTGAAGCTGCTTTCTAGTGTATTCTGATATAAAGCTGTAATATAGCTAATGTTAGGGACTCATTCCCCTTGTTAACAAAAAGTGGATACCATTATTATTATTTTTTTTTACATTTCAAGGTTTCTGTTTCAGGGTATTACATTATGGTGTAACTCTTGATATACCTTTTTTACATGCTATTTTTTTATCTACATAAATGCATTTGAAACATTTTGAATACGTTACAATTTATTCTAAATGTTGGTGTCCGTTACTACTTTAATGTTCTGCCTCTTCTGTAATTGTTCAGGTGGGAGTTATCTTCAACTTGTGATCCTGAGGTTACGACCTTATAGCCAATACAATCAGATTTTAAGTCTGTTTTATATGCGAGTACCAAGGTATGTTTGCGTCTAAAGTGTAATCTATACAACAATTCACTATTGTGTTTCTTTCCTTTAAATATTACTGAGATGACAAGTTTCAAGCATAAGGGGGGAAAAAAAGGTTGTGATATGACTCTCTCTCACGTGCCCAATACATTTTTTTTTATCTGATAATATCCTCAAATTGTTTAGATAGAAAAAAAAAAATCACGGGGTCAGATTTTTGTGAACATTGAAAGCATTTATTAAAAAAAATAAAAAAAAGGTTTGGAGCTTGCCCTGTAGATTCATTAGCCTATTCTCAGCCTATTTCATTTCATTCATAGAATCATGGGATTTGTAGTTCAGCACCATCTGGAGGGCCTGAGTTTGGGGAAGCCTACTAATGAATCTACAGGGCAAGCTCCAAATGTTTTTTTTTTAATAAATGCTTTCAATGTTCACAAAAATCTGACCCCATGATTTTTTTTGTTTCTATCTAAACCATTTGAGGATATTATCAGATAAAAAAACAAAAACATATTGGGCACGTGAGAGAGAGAGCCTGCATAAGAGGCTTAAAAAAAAATATAAAACGTTTTGAACAAACTATGTGTATGGTTCTACCGCAACACCGTGAGGAATGCATATGAGGATTACAGCCCATATTTCCAGTCATTCTTCAGGTTCCAGTATTTCACTAAATTGTGAATTCAGTTAATTTCCAATTTTAGGCCAAATTAGCTTAACCCCTTAAGGACACATGACATGTGTGACATGTCATGATTCCCTTTTATTCCAGAAGTTTGGTCCTTAAGGGGTTAAACATAAATTTTTTTTTTTTTTTAATTCAGCGGTTTTTCGTTCGGCCATTTTGTATAAAATTTGAACTTCCTTTTGAATTTCTGACAATTGACACCTCAGTGAATAAAAGCTATTGTTGGCTATAAGTGTTGGTAACAGACTGTAGAGCTTGTTGTTCAGTTCCCAGCATACCGCTTGTCCTGAAAAGTTAGAACAATTCACACATTGTACCATGGCAGAAGGGTAGAAGCCCAGCTTCTCTCCAAATAATGTTATCATCAAAGACCATACTTATCAAGGTAAATTTGCTTTTATGGAACTAAATGTTGAGAGACATTAAGCTGAGTAAAAAGACCTTTGGCAGGTCGATTAATAAACATATTTGAAAACACTGAGTCATAAATGTTAAAATGGGAGAGATGATCATATCCAGAAGGTGTATGTAGTTCAACAATGCAGCAATTTTGTTTGTTTAAAAAAAAAAAAAAAAATGAATGGCACTGCTACTTGCTTGGATTTTACTTTATCACGAATGTGGCAACAGCACAAATTCTTCAAGCGATCGGGAACTTGTGTGTCCATGCACACCATAAATCCCCAGCCAGGAGGGACACAGCCACACCAGACTAAGAGTGGCTGAGCTCTATAACTAGCTATCGTTGTTGGAAGCATTTGCCAGCTCTATTTTCCTTCCTTACAGTTTCTCATCATTTTGATTAGTTGGGGGACATATAAAAAGTAACTTGGTATGGTAAAACAAATGTCAATTGGAAAATTATCTACAAAATTATAATGTTTAGTTACAACAGGAATTTTCTTACTGAATCAGGAATTACAGACAATTGACAAAGGAATTTCAAATGGCCAAAATGCCTGGACAAGAAAAATCTCTAACTCGGCTTATTTCAGCCTGAAAATTCTATGGTCAATTAACCATTTATGGATCAATAGACAAATGCCACAACATCAAAACGCCAATAACATTGCCAATAATCGTCAACCTAGGTGTAAACAGTCTAGTAAGTGAATTGACTGTGTACGTATCGTATTCAACAAAAACAATATCCCCCTAATAAGCCTTACAGACATGTCTCTGTGCTTTAATTAACTTGAACTTTGATGCAAATACACTAGGTAAAGTCATACACTGCTGTGCAAGGTTCTGTATGCTGAAAATGTAGAACACCAATTAAAAAAAATCATTAAGATAACAGAAGCTAGTAGTAACTAAAGCTTGGCTTTCTCTGGCTTTAGTAAGAAAGCGGAGAAGTCGGTGAGAAGGGCCTGCTCTCTTTAGGAATGTTATATTAGCTACTGAAAGCGATGATAAGCCTGAGCTGTCAGCTTCTGAGACCCATGTGGCTGCATGTGACCTACACTGTAATGAACACTATGAAGATATGCTGGATGATCTTTAAATACTAGCTGTCTGGAGCAGAAAGTCTATGCCCATAACCTATTACGTGAAGCAATCACATTATTTATTACACCAATATGTCATAGAGAAAAGGCCTGAACAGAGTTATAAAATTAACGGTTTTATTGAAGCAATGTAAAAGAAACCACAAGGCAGTGCGGTAAAATTAGCGTTTGAAAAAGGATTTTTTTGAAAAGCATTAAAACAACAGATGGGAAATGTTCACCAAATGCAGGAAATAAAAGTACAAAGGTCTTCATAAAAAAATCACATTGAAATAATAAGCATAAAACAGGCGCTACAGCTAGTTGTACAAAACATGAAAGCCAGAGGGCCAAAATGTTAAAATAGATGTTTAGAACCTACTTAAACAAGGGAATGGCATTCCACTTTTAAATATACATAAACCCGGTGTGAAATAAACAATTAAGGAATATTCTGTACAATGTCAATCTGTGAAATGGGACAGACAGGCTCAGTTGTAAATGGACTCTCAGCCATGTGTGGTGTCATCTTCTACAAAGTCCTTGGCCTGTTCTGCTGTGATCACATCAATGTGGCTCACCTAAAAGGATCAAACAGAAGCGGTTAAATGCATTTCCTAAAATGAACCATTCGTTTCCTTAAGCCATTTCATAAACTACTGCTTGCTACTCTGTCAGCTACTTTGGTAGCTCAAGTGTGTTTGTGAATATGGTTTCAGACTGAAGGACAGCGGATGCCTGCGAGAGGCCAAGTGTAGAGGGAATGATATTTGACACTGCAGGATTCTAATTACTGTCAGAAAATTCCTCCCAAGGAATGGCAGCCAAACCTCTGCACAGCACGCAAGTTGTCGTTCTGAATCACTACTGACATGTGTAAACCTTCTTACAGGCTTTAGTAAGACATTTTACAAAATCTAATTAAGGAAGAGTGGGTTTTAATAATAATAATAATAAAAAATTATAAACAAAAATAAACATGTGGCAAAAGTGTCACATATCATAAAATAAGATTGCGTGTAATTAGCGGGATGATAACAGCCCACTGTTAACATGTGCTTTTAAAGAAGCAATGAGGAGTCATCTCAATTGAATTAAAATATTTTACCTTATTTCTAAATTTCACACCATAAAATTTATCTGCTGATTCCAACAGCTCAGGTCTGAAGGTCGTCGTAATAAACTGGGCGTGAGATGCAAGTTCCATGATCATGTCTGGGGGAAGAAATCAAAGAAAAGTTTTATAAAATTAGGAAAATCTTTACAAAAAGAAACAAATACAAATGCACTAAAAGTGTTTACCAACCTCAAAATATTTGTTTTTCTGCTTTTCTTAAAAATAAAATATAGATTTTTTTTTTACCAGTTCCTTTACAATTAGAGATGTAATAAATGGTTTAGCTCAAATTCAGTGACTTGTAGTGTTGATGGTGCTTGGAGCACTGAAGTAATAATAATAATGCAATTTATAAAAAAAAAAAAACAACAACAACAACAACACCTGCTATATATAGGCTTTGGGGGAAATAAATTGTTATTTTCTATTACTGTAGCCTCAATTTTTGTGATGTCATGAACACGCGATAAAAACATTATTTTGGCGGTTATGTGTGTGTGTATAAATTGACCTTCCTGGTTTTGCATAATGGTGTTGTTTTGACATAAAATCTCAAACTGCTCTACAGAAACTTTCATAGCTTTGTATAAGGAGGCCTGTGCTGCAGTTCATTTAAAGAACATGAACAGAGCAATATAAGGTAAAAGACTGCAGAAAAAGTAGAACTTTGAAAGACAGCACATATATATTTAAATATTTTGATTTAGTGGCATTTTATCCATTTAAGAACACTAGAAAAATTTAGTATCAACTCCATCCTGAACTGTCTTTAAATATACATTGGCAACAGGATTCCAGTAGACTAAAACCGATTCTACCACTTCATATCTCCGTCCCCGCATGGATTTCTAAAATGTTTTACCTGAAACAGCTTTTCGATGCTGGGCATCCAGAGCTTGGTCAATTTCATCAAATAGGTAAAAAGGAGCCGGGTCACATTTCTGGATGGCAAATATAAGTGCTAAAGCCACCAGGGACTTCTGACCACCAGACAGTTGCTGCATTTCCCTCATTTCAGCTTGCTTTCCCGTGAACGAGACCTGCACACAAAACCAGATTATATTTCATTTACATTGTATCAATGTGTATACATATATATCCTTTATTCACTGATAATGAATGCTTACCCTAATCCCTACACCCGTAAACTGGTCCACTGAAGGAACGCTGCTCTGTGAGCTGGAACCCTTCTCGCTCTCTGCACTTCCCTCCCCCTCATCCTGAGACTGGTTTCCTTCCACATCTCCCTTCTTCATGACAAGTGTGGCTTTGCCCCCAGGTACCAGCTTCTGGAACACTTCACTGAAGTTCTTGGACACCTAAAAACAAAACAACATGTATTTCTTTATCAATTCATTACACAGAAGGCATCTGTCAAGTGGAAGAGACAGGTTTAACAGACAAGCACAGCAGGAAGAATGTATCTGAATGAACCAGTTAAAATACTGAAACCATGTTATACGTAAGTAGTCTTGTCAAATTCGAAATGAGAAGTATGTCAGAAACATAATGATGGTTCTCTGCACAAGTAGCAAAGTTTAATAAGCCGAAGAGATAGCTTGGGGGAAGTACCGACTGACATGTGTCCAATGGAGATGAAAGCTCAGTTAGAAAAGAAATCAAAGGAAATACAGCGAAACTAAAAAAAACAAACATGTAACATGCAGATATAGGAGGGATGATGTAGTTATTCTTTTAAGGTACGCACTTGATAAGCCCATAAGTCTAAACGGAACGTACCCAATAATAACAGGGGCGGGGCTAAGATTTGTGTTTCCAGCACTACTTGCTGACCTTTTCAACCGACTGTTAATGAGGGGATAGGTCCACACAATGTGCCCCGTGCATAAAGTGTTTGAGAAATTACAGATTAGGGAGTTTTTACATGTAGAATTTATACATAATATAATTTATTCAAATACAACATGTAAAAGGCCTTTAACATCAACAAACAATATGCGTTATTAGAAGATTAAAGTGACACCGGTCCAATTTACCCAGCATTCCCTGTACTTTGTTGCACATCACACGGGTTCACTAAGTTTAGAGACATATTTCACATGGTTTAGCAATATTAACAATACCTGTTTGAATGTGAGCTGGATGGCCTCATATTTCCTTAGCTCTAAGACATTCATCAGCTCCATTATAGATTTATGGCCGCGGTCTAGCTCTTCCTGACGCTTTATAAGTTTCTCCTTCTGTTCAGAGAAGTTTACAAACTGATCCAGAGCCTTCTTGTTTACGTGGCTGTATTTCTTAAGCTCAGTGTTGCACTGCTCCAGCTTGCGGAATAACTGAAAGGACAAATGAGAAACTTGGTTAAACTATGTAAAAAAATTTAGTTTTACAAAGTCTGTAACTTTTTGTCTCTGTTTAAAAAAAGAAAAATAAAGTTTCCAAAACTTTCGGGTGTAGGAGCATATGGCCTTCCCCAAGCTGTTATTTGCAACTCCTAGTTGATCAGGAAAGCACCGTGGGAATTGTAGTCCAACATTGGACTACAATTACTACTGTGCTCTAGTAGTAATCTCTGAAATTTCTCATTAAGTCTGTTTCACCAGGTTTCCCCAGTATTGTATACATGGCAACCTTTTTAATAAAGTACATGTGACCATAAAGCTATGTGAAAAGTCAAATGTTTTCACTGATTTGATGATTTCCTGTTGCCTTTCAGCAAATAAAAATTGGACAAGAATTCTAAATGCAGCATTTATTCACCTCTCAATAACCAATATAAGAAACAAGTTGCTCCAGTAAAATGTGATACAGAGCTGGGATGATTTTCAAATTCTTTTGTTTTCCATTAGTTGTTTCAATAGATTCTGGATCAGATTTTTAAAGTTATCGGGGCACACATTAAATTTGCTGCTGAGCAGCTACTTCACGAACGCTCAATACATGCATGTTCCAGAGAGCTGCCAAGTGTCTGAAGGAGTAGAGTGACTTTTGTATGCAAGAAACACAGCAATGTGTACAGATGTGTCTTTCTGGGAGGAAATTAATCTATGGCAAGTTATGTTTAGGATAGGTTAAACTCAATGCACCGGCAAAATTTATCTTACATTATTTATTTATTTTTAAAGGTGAATATCTACATCGAGGGCAAACCGTAAGAATCAAAATAATTTATCATTTTCTGACAAAAGATTTCAAAAAGGGAAAACCTTGCCTTCAATCATTATTCCATTACCTGTTTCAAACTTAGCGTCTGGTATTTTTCAAATGCCTCTTGCGGCAGAGAGCCCAGTTCTCTGATCTTTTTCATGCACTCCTCTTTCTTCTTTAGAAGCATACCCTGGCGATTTGTCATTTTCTCAAGTTCTTTTGTGTCATGGTTGATAGCGTCCATGTGCTCTTTTTCCATGTTTTTCCATCGATCCATGCTTTTCACAAGATCTTTGCTCTCTACTTCTGTCTTGTCAATGGTGATGTCTAGGCCTAAAATATGGGTGGGGGGGGAGTGTTTGGTTTTACCATGGTAGAACACTGCAAAGAGTTTATGCAATGCACACACATATAATGATGCTTCATGCCAACAATACTATCAGAGAGGATTTACTGAACCAAGAGTTTACGAACAGAAATGGTGAAATATAATCCTAAGCATTTACAGAATAAGTATACCTTCTGATCTTGCCAGTGTCTCCTTCACGCGTTTGTTGATGGCTTCCAGTTCAGATGTTGTTGCTGTGAGGACCGTCCCTCCCTCAGTTTCTCTCAACTCATTAAGTTCCTGCGATGAAGAGAAAATAAACTTTCATGTTAAAGCCTTGCCCATGGTGGTAACAGAAACTACTACAGAAATAGTCAAAGAAAAATATAAGAATTCAAAACAATTTGCCATATTTGAGAGCAAGGAATTGAAAGAGTTAACAGAGGCAGTTTCAGTAATATTTGAGACTCTGATAGTGCAACTGCACTTACTTGCTCCACTTGGTCCAGTCTCTTTCGGAGATTTTCATTCAGGTAAGTCTCCACTCGAGTAATCGTTCCCTCCAACTTAATCCTTTCATTTAGGAGTTGTCTGTTTTCCTAAATAAATTTGAAAAACATCAAAAAAATAAATTAAAAAAAAGTGTTGGATAGAAATCTAATGTGGAAAATAAATATTTTTGCTAATATATAATGAATGCTATAAGCATTTATTGCAAACTGCAAGATTATGGATTTTATTAGCTTTAACTTACTTGCTGCAACTGCCGAATCTCGTCATTGAGAGCATCCACCCGCTTCTGGTCCTCCAAACTGAGCTGGGATAGCAGATCAGTCCCCAGCTCAGCTTTCAGGGACTCTCGTGTGGACTCCATTGCATGTAAACTGGCCTCCAGACTCTGCAAGCTACGTTGCTGTAAAACAAACCAACATCATCAGACAAAGCTTCAGTGATTGGCTGTTTGAGCTTGCATTAAAGGATAGCTGAATCACTTGGATATAAGACTGCTTTAGATTACAGTGGAATGATGACAAAGGAATAATCTCTTTGCGTATGAGACTGCATTATACAGTAACTGAATGAAAGCACCCGTGTAGTCTCACCTTGGGAATGAGACTGCATTAGACAGTAGTGAATGAAAGAACCAGTGTAGTCTCACCTTGGGAATGAGACTGCATTAGACAGTAACAATGAAAGCACCCGTAAATCTCACCTTGGGCATGAATGTTTTTTCAGACTGTTGCCGCTTTTCCTTTAGCATCTTCATTTCTGACAAGATACTGTCTCGAGAGGCTTTAAACTTCCTCTGCTGGGTCTCAATCTGTTGCATCTGGTTCATTAGCTGGTCAATTTCATTGTTAATCCTTACAAAAGTGCTAAGGAAACTATTTTTTACTGAAAATACCAGAGTTTTTCATCTTCTAACATCCAAATATTTCTTTTATTTTTTATTTTAAAGTATTATACATACTTTGCTCAAGTGTTACATCAATGTTTCATTGATCTATGGAAATGATCTAGGAGAGAGCACATATCACTAAAATAAGCTTCTGCGTCTCTATGTTAATAGATAATCCTGCAACCTCACACTGGTTCTGCTGCAATCTTTTCTAATAACATACAATACGTAGCACATGCTCTAAACCAAACATCGTTTAAAAAAAAAAAAAAAAAAGCTTATTGGTCTAAGCATACCACTTACCGTAATCCATACATCTTAAAACAACTTCAGAAATGAATACAACACCAGACACTTTTTTTTGGAATAGGATCCATAACAACCAGATTGTTAGAATAGCACAAACTACTGGCCGACTTCAATTACACAATAAGGGAAATGTATTAAGAAGACTAGGGCGAAGTTTTAAGAATGGAATATCCACCCTGTAAGCTAATTATTATTATTTTATTATTTATTTAGCGCCATCAGATTCTGTAGCGCTGTACAATGGGTGGACTAACAGACATGTAATTGTAACCAGACAACTGGACATACAGGAACAGAGGGGTGGAGGGCCCTGCTCCATGAGCTTACATTCTAGAATCTAATGGAATGTTCCTGCTGACTTTGCTTTCGACTGTCTTTATGAGTAAATATGACCTAAAGTGTTTCTTTTGGAACACATACACCTTGCACAATGCATTCACACAAAAGGATATTTTCAATGTTTCTCCGGAGATTTTCATTGAGCTTTGCCTCCAGAGCATGAAGCTCATCTTCTACCTTCCGAACATCTTTTTGCAGCTCGAGACGGGACTTTCTTGTGTCGTAATAACCTCCTGTCAAGGCTCCACGATGGCTCACCTGGTCCCCTATTATGAGAGTTAACATAGCACATTGAAATGAATGCAAAGCTAAAGTGTTATCTATATTGTTTAAATATATAGAAGTGCATTAAAATGGATTTGGTTCTATTTCAGTTTTTGATTTAAAGTAAACTTTAATGTAGACATAAGGCGAATGACCACAATGCATTCAATTACTGTTATTGAAGCCATGTAAAGCTACATTTTGGTAGGAGACACATGGGGTTATCGCTTCTATTGTGGTGATAAGACAACAAGGTACATCTAAAATATTTTTTCTCTTACTACCATAACAATATCTTAATATAAAGCATCATTGACAAAACACCTACTAACTGTAGTGAAATCTATGATTCCAGCTTATTACGAACATCAAATAGTGCCTCCTCCCCACCCCTTTTCCTATAAAGCAAGGAAGAGCAAAGAGTGGGAGTTTTAATAGCTAAATAATATGACTTTCTGGAGGACATCAATCAAATTTGCAACCCCTGGTTAGCATATATGCAGCCAATACAAAAGCCCTTTCTTGTAAGATCCCCAGTCCACACAGGTGTACAAATGAAAGAAATTATCGTTTCTAAAGATTTCCTTGGTAAAACTTTTCTAAAATAGAATGGTCAAAAAAAAAAAAAAAAATTATCCCAAAAACGTTGTGTCTATTAACAAAACAAAAAAAGGACGGATTGAAACTTTAGTTTTTAACAGCTGAGTCTAAGCTGGAATTTGCACAAATATGAAATATGTTTTAGTGTTCATAATAAAGAACAATAAACATGCCATGTAAATGTCAGATGCCATCAAGTCCATTAAACATCTCTGTAGACCAGACACTAAAATGTCATCAGGAACAAAATTCAGCTATTTAATCTTCTTTGCTAGAATGCAATTTAAAAACCTGCACTAAAATAAAATGTGACTTTCTGCAGATTAATCAGAACAATATCAGAGAATTGGTTACCATGGAAACTTCTCAGAAAAATGAAAATGCATGAAGCTGTGTTGAGAATCACAAGCAATAGCTCATGTTTTAGTGCAGGTGAATAGACCACAGTGACAACAGGGAACATATGACATGCTGACAGTACAGGAACCCAAGTCGAGAAACCATTGCTTGTCAATTATATTGCTATAAAAATACCACTATAACTGAAAGGAAATAAGGACTGATTAAAGCATCAGATAGATTGGTTCCAAACTCTGACTTGGCAGTGAAACTATTAAATCAAACTTTTACACTAATCACAAACTGTATTCCTACCTTCTAAAGTGATACAATCCATAGTAAATGCCCTGGCTAGCTGCGTCGATACTTCCATACTGCGGCAAATAAGTGTCTTGCCAAATACATGTTTGAATGCTTTATCAAAACGTTGGTTGTACCGAAGCTTGCTGATCATTGGAATAGCGTCCTAAAAAGTCAAAAGGGAAATAATTAAACCAGTGTCCAATACAGTGGGACCACTTATGGTATATATTACAGCTCTTTATCTATCTGACGTTGGCACATTTTGTGAATAACAGGTTCACTTTAGGAACTGCCATATCATGTTCATTACTTTACTGGTTTATTTTCAATCAGATAGAAAATCAGTTAAGCAGCAATTGGAAAACCAGATCTACAAATTGAGCAATGAGGAGTATTTTAACAAAACATTGGTGTATAAGTTTTTCTAGGTTTTGCTGTCTGTCACCTCTCTCTGTGCCACAAGTCTGGTTTAAAAGACTTGTTTATTTTTCAATTAGCCATGTGTCTCTCGTACCTGTCTGGGTTTCCATCTCATATTTTAAGTTAAGTGCTTTGGTCCACCAGTCTGGTTTTTGTCTTAGTGTGCATCTGCAGCGATCAGTATATTTCCCAATTGAAACATTTTGTATGTTACTACTGAGTAATACTGCACAAGCGATTTATACTAAGTGCCAGATCTCATTGGGCTTTTATTAACCCCTTAACGCCGTTCTATGCCGTCCCGCATTAAAAGGGCTTTAAAGCCGTTGCGGCGGCATAGAACGCCGTAACGGCTAAAGCCCCCAGGAGATCGGAGGTACTTACCTCCGCTGCGATCCTCTTCTGGAGGGCTGCTTGGCAAATGAGTCCCCCGGGGGCCATGTGATCGCTCTCAAAGAGCGATCACATGGCCCCCTATAGCTGGCTGTGGATCTGCCAGCAAGGGGGCTGTCTAAAATGTCAGACCGTCCCCCTGCTGGTGGGAAAGTAAAAAAAAAAAAAAAGAAAAAAAAAAAAAAAAGAATTAAACATGTTTAAAATAAAATAGAAATTTATATATAATATATGTATATCTATTATATACATATTATATATATGTAACGTCATACAATGTATATATATATATATATATATATATACACACACACACACACGTATAATTACAATAAATAAAATAAATAACATATTGAAACAAAATTTTATATAAATTATATATTCATATGTAATTTCATTCTATCTGTATTTTGTTATTAATATATATATATATAACAAAATACACTTAGAATGACATTTCATATCTATATATAAAATACAAATAACCACAAAAATTTTAATATATACATACACACATACACACACACACACACACAATTACATAAAAGATTACATTAGTATACCTATAAATGCATATATGCACATATATATATATATATATATATATACACACATATATATATATATACACATATATATATATATATATATATATATCTCTTAAAATTCTACATGTATATTTAAGTAATCTTTTAACATAATTATGTCATTTGATTAATTAAAATTTGATTGACATGCCTGACAACACAGGGAGAAAGTGCAGAGAATTTAATTTGCAAGCACTATATTTGACCCTGTAACTCTCCAAGACACCATAAAACCTGTACATAGGGGGTACTGTTTTATTCGGGAGACTTCGCTGAACTCAAATGTTAGTGTTTCAAACTGGTAAATTGTATTACAACGATGATATTTTAAGTAAAAGTGAAGTTTTTTGCATTTTTTACAAACGGACGACACTTTTATGGACTATATTATTGTTGTAATATGTTTTACTGTTTTAGAACACTAATATTTGTGTTTAGTGAAGTCTCCCGAGAATAACAGTACGCCCCATGTACAGGTTTTATGGTGTTTTGGAAAGTTAGAGAGTCACATATAAGGCTTGCATTTCATTTTTTTGACATTGAAATTTGCCAGATTGGTTATGTTGCCTTTGAGAGCGTATGGTAGCCCAGGAATGAGAATTACCCCATGATGGCATACCATTTGCAAAAGTAGACAACCCAAGGTATTGCAAGTGGGGTATGTCCAGTCTTTCTTAGTAGCCACTTAGTCACAAACACTGGCCAAATATGAGTTTTTTGCTTTTTTCACACAAAAACAAATATGAACGCTAACTTTGGCCAGTGTTTGTGACTAAGTGGCTACTAAAAAAGACTAAACATACCCCACTTTCAATACCTTGGGTTGTCTCCTTTTTCAAATGGTATGCCATTATGGGGGCAATTCTCATTCCTGGGCTACCACACCGTCTCAAAGGTAACATTACTACTCTGGCAAATTTCAATGTGAAAATGGAACGTTCTATATTTGACCCTGTAACTTTCCAAAATACCATAAAACCTGTTAATGGGGGGTACTGTTGTACTCGTGAGACATCGCTGATTACAAACCTAACAGGTATTATGACATTCACAGCTAAAATGTCAGACGGAAATACAAATAAAAATAAAAAAAAAAAAAATAATCTTATTTTTTAAAATTTTATTCATAATAAATTATGTTCCATATATGAATAGTTAATGATAAATTAAAGCCCCGTTTCTCCTGAACAAAATGATATGTAATAAGTGTGGGGTCACTTAATGTGACAGCGGTGAATTAGGGTTGAACAGACATATAGCGCAAATTCCAGTTTTTGTTTACGTTTTGTTTTGATCAGAACGTGCACTATTGACTCCGTCCTGAAGGGGTTAAAGTGAGCAAGTTTCACTTATTTTCTTTATTTGGCTGCCAGATCGAAGCCATAAGAATACACAACCAATTTTTTCTCACATTATTTTGGAAGCACACCAGGAGGTGTGATAGCTTCAGATTCACATTTTCTAGGAGATATTTATTTTAACGCCATACTGCATGGTTTCTACTTTATTTTTGGGTCTCATAAAATATTCAAACTCCCCGAAAATAAGAGTGGATGTTTATAACATATTTTATACTAGCACTTCACACTGATTAGTAGTGTGTTTACTACAATCTATTTAAAACTGTTGTGAAGTGCCTGTTTTATCTTGACATGGCTGTCACTTGGGAGACCTCTCTGATCGATCACTTGTATCCAGAAGAAAAAGATACTGTATTTTTCAGAAGCAATACATTTTTACTTTATTTTTTTCATTTTAAGATACAAATTTTATTGCTGGGACAAATAGACAGTGTATCAGCAATAAAACCCACTGTCACGCACAGGTTTTATTGTAATGGCCCACGCTGCAATTCATTGTTGCCATTTAAATCTGTCTTGCTGCTCTGCGTTAAATGTCTCCATATAAAAATATAAAACCCTCCTCTGGAGAATGACAAATGAATAACAATGACTCAGAATCTGACTGAAGGGAAATAATGAGTGTGGCAGCTCGGGGGAGCGGAGGTGGATTATGACGACTCACATTAGTTTCAGGATAAGCTGTGTCTCGAACGTCCAGTTTGTTGAGGGGCAGGAAGGTTACTTCTCCAGGCAGATTCATTTTATTAAACTCCATTAAGATCTTCGTGCTGACCTCATCTGATTCCACAATATGATAAAACAACCTTATGAACAGAACAGACCTCGTTTAACAGGTGAAAATATGACTCACTCTCTCCAAACATAAATCCTGAGATAAAACCCATTTACAATTACATATCTCCATATTTATAACAAACAGCATTATATTTCTACTAGTAAAGAGGGGAAAATGTAATCCAGAAACTTTATCCTCAATAGACACATTATTAGCAAGTGAACATTTTAAAACATACACATGAATATTCTCAAAACCTAGCATTGTGGGAAAACAGACAAAGAAATTGTATTTTTCCCCCAAAGCAACAAAATGAAAACAGTTCTCCACCAGGGCTATATTTCAATTAACATTTGCAATTCCCTTGCTTTCACTTTTCAACATTTCTTTGTTTAGTGTACATCATTTAAACATCGTCTTATATGTATTTTTTCTACTATATAATTGTACTATAGAACAGCTTATAGCGCATTTAAAAACAGTTTCTGCACAACAAGGGAGATTTATTAACTAGTAATTAGAAATATTTCCATTCACATTAGCAGATGCATAGCTTCTTACAGCAGAGAGACTATTAACAGGCAAGCATCCATGCTTCACACATACATAAACTGGTCTGGGTGCGGTTTCCCAGTATCATAGCAAGATAGCAAGACAGAGGGAAAACTACAAAACCATTAAAATATCCTGGGCTCAAAACATATCACTTGCAAACACCAGAGAGGTGAGGGAATGTTGTGAGACTACCGTTTAGTTTTTAATGTGGGTCAAACAAATTCATTGTAAGCAAGCCCCTCACCTCATAATTGCCCTAAGACTCGAGCCCAAGCAAGCATGCCAAACTCAAAAAAAAAAAAAAAAAAACAGCATCCCCCTCTACTAAACCACAGCACCCCCTCTATTAAATCCCAGTCCCATCCCCCCATACATCAAATCCCAGTCCCCTCCCCCCTCTACTAAATCCCAGCACCCCTCCTTTAGCCAACAAGCAGACTCCACTCACATTGCCACTGCCAGTATGCGACTCCAGACTCCGACCTCTGTTATACCCCAAATGGTCCTCACCCTGTGCCAAATTGGATCTCCCCGCTACTTCTTCAAACCCTGTGAAGGTGGAGCACGTCGACGTCACGTTGGAATGTGAAGTGGTGTTGCATGCCTCCGTGAGCCTTCAAGTCCTCCACTGTACAGCCGTGGCCATCGCAAAATGGACCAACACACACACATATCATTGTATTTATCCCTGGGGTCCAGTGGGGATCTTCTATCTGGAGATTTCCTTCCTGCTGCTCGCTGCTCACTCGCGCGTGCAGTTTAGTGATGCCGGTTGCCGGAATAACACGTCATAGTCAGGCACCACTACAGACAGCGCGCGCAAGGAAGCAGTGAGGAGCAGGAAGACTGAGCTCCCTCGCTGCCGCCAGCGTCCTGCTTCCTCTCCGGCCGGGTAAATTTTAGCAGAGTGGGCACCTGCAACTTGGAGAAAGCAGGTGCCTACTCTGCTTTAACACTAAGCATGTACTCGAGGCTCGTCAGGCCGTAAAGATGTCCATTGTGGGCCGCGGGGCTGAGTGTTTGACATGCTTGCTCCAGCCCAAGATCAAACTTACCCTAAACACTACTCATTTCCTCTCAAACAGCAGCCCATTCCCCAGACAATTTGGTTTTGTTTTTTGTGACATTTTACCTTGACCCAGCTTTTCATTTTCATGGTTCCAAAAGTTAAGCAAAACCAACAAAAAGTTGATAAAAGACGGCATACAATACCTGTTCCCGGCAGTGACTTCCACGCAGGTGTAGAAAGCAGGCTCGCAGTCAAAGTTATTCATGACAATCCCGTGATAACCATTAATGACGTGCTGGTTGATGCCTTTCCTCCGGAAATGCTCCAGAACTTTATTAATGCTGTCAATTCCATTCAAAATTGCCTGCCATGGAAATTGAAAAATATGTTGACTGGAATAATAATTACTCAGAGAGAATGTCTAATTAGGCCCTGTTTAGTCATGCTGTTTTCAACAGATTCATTGGAGCTAAAGAATGCATTTTTAAAAAGCAAAAAATTTCTTTGATTACCAGATCCCACAAATGCTCTGCAGCAGTTAGCCCTGTAAAGCAATAGCAAGCTTGTTAATTTATTTTAAGACAGCAACACTTGTCCCATTAATTTACATTAAAATGTAGGTGCCTGAATCACGGGACCAAAGGGAGGCCAGAGTTGGCTTTCAAAATAAACTAAAGTGCCTCAACTCAAACCAAGTACATAAGGTAAATTAAAATAGCCAGTGACAGTGCTGCCTACACACTCCCAGAAAACAAACTTAGATCCAGGTTAAAAAGGTTTGGCTTTACATTTTAGGACTATGTTCCCTTTATGTGTATGAGGAAACCAGACAAATTGCACATTACAAAACTGAAAGGTTGACTGACTGCACAAGAATGTAATAAAACACACAATAAAAATGCAAAACCTTCAGTCGATTTTCAGAAGGTTTAAACAATAGAGGTATTGTCATGTAGAATACATATTTTTTTAGTGTTTGGCAGCGCTCACCTTTCCAGTGGCAGCTCGGAGCAGCTGCTGTTTCTTCTCCAAATCTTCCCTTTTAGCAGCGAGTGCTTGCTGTTCTGCGTTCTCCTCTCTCCATAAATAACTGAATAGAAAAATCTAAATTGACTTTCATGATCCAAAACCCTCAACTGGTGCTTCCCTCATAAAAGCTCACAAAACAATTGTAGATAAGACTCAAAATAACACACTGTATTCTAGATTTACTGAATATTTAATGGTTTAAAACATAACCTGAAAAATGCTTGTTTACCCATTTAAATTTAAGGCACTTTAAATGGTTTTGTTCACAGTACTGAACAGTTCATTACTGATGAAGATAATCTCCATTTCTAATTATAATTAGTTTGTGATGGGAGCTTCCTTAGTCCTGTTGACTAGCATACTAAGTAGAGTGTGTGTGTGAAAATCAAACAAGCATTGGAGCAAAGAAAATGTTTCAGTATAAGCGGTGTCGTCCAGTTCGAGACACAGCTTATCCAAAAGTAACAAACGTGATTTTAATGCTTACTTTAAAACTATTTTAAAAAGTATATATAATTAACTCTAAATTAGCCACTTACTTCCTTTCACTCTGTAGCTCATCCTTTTTGTTTTTCACTTCATAGTACTTTTTATCCAGTTCTTCAACTCGAGCCTTCACTTCATTAAGATCTTGATCTAATTTCTATTAAATACATTTTATGTATGGGAAAAAAAAAAAAAAAAAAAAAGGTTAAATGAAGCCCATTGTGAGGATTAGTGAAAATGTCTTTGTAACTCATGCGGGTTAGTTTCAAAAGGTATCATTTAAAAAAAAAAAAAAAAAAGCCATCTCTTTCTGCCACATGTTGGAAAATGAATATACAGCAGACTGGGCACTTCATTTTTTTTTTTTTTCCCTTCTGAGCATAGGTAACATCATTTGTACTTTTAGTTCAGGGAACCTAGTTCATAACAACTTCACTGAAAAGCTCCAGAACACCACTACCAGAGCATTCCAGCTCCCCACACCTCGTGTAACACACACTACTTCAGCAGCACTCTCACTCCAGCTCCCCACACCTCGTGTAACCCACACTACTTCAGCAGCACTCTCACTCCAGGTCCCCACACCTCCTATAACTCACACTACTTCAGCAGCCCTCACTGCAGCTCCCCACACCTATAACCCTACTACCTGAGCAACATGCTCACTCCCACACCCTACCTCTTTTATAAAACTCACTATCAAAGCAGTGTGCTTACTCCAGCATGCTCCACCTCCTACCATCCAGACTAGTTATGCAGTATGATTAGGGCTGGCCCGTCCATAGCCTGTGGTGGAGCCACGGCTCCAGGCGGTACCCTGACAGTGGCGAGCCGACTGCTCTCTAATTAGGCAGCTGCCTAACTCGCCATAGGGCAGACAGACTGTGTCAGGTCCTTGGACCCGACACCAGGAGTGGGCCCGGCGGCTTGCCCGGAATGCCGCCGGGTGTGAGGCCCCTCCAATCTGCCCTGATAGGCAGGGAGCCAGCACAGTCTGCAAATCCGCCGGGTGTGAGCTGCAGACTGTGCAGTGTCTCGTGATCTCTGGCCAATCAGAGCGTTGCTGTGGATTACCACAGCAACGCTCTGACTTCTGGATATTGCGAGACACTGCACAGTCTGCAGCTCACACCTGGTGGAGCTGCAGACTACTGGCTCTCTGCCTCTCAGGGCAGCCCACTGGACCACCAGGGATCAAAGAGACAGTCCACCAGACCACCAAGGATCAAAGTCCACCAGACCACCAGGGAAAAAAATAAAGGTATCACTCTCACCCCACTGTGTCACCCCCTCCCTCCCTCTGCCACCTCCTCCCTTACTGTGTCACACCCTCCCTCCCTCAATCACTCTACCACCAGTCTCCCTCCATCACCTGTCACCGCCTCCCTCTCTGTGCGAGGAGCAGCATTTCAACCTTTCACCCAAGCAGCAAAATGCCTTTGGCCAGCCCTGAGTATGATGATCACATATTGGAATTTGTATTATAAAACAGGGGGATCAAACTTAACATACAGTGTACTGTTCCAGATTTTTCTCCTTATTAGCTTCTGTGTCCTCCAGATCTTTGTTTATGGCTGCAATTTGTCTTTTTTTGTCATTAATGGCTTGATCCAAGGATTTCAGCTCCTTCTTAATCCACTTGTCCCTCTCTTCTTTTGATGTGAATTGACTTCCACGACCCTGCTTGGCATAAAGATCTGTACGCTCCTGGGTTGCTTGAGCAAGCCTATATAAGGGAGGAATATCAAGTTTAACATGGCATATGTCTCAGAGACATTTCAATGCAAGATAAATGTTGAAAGCAGAAGAAACAATTCAACCATCTAATTACAAGTACACAATGTCATGGCGGCCAAAATACAACTGGCCCTACTAATTGCTCGAGAGAGAGCAGTGTGCCAGTCTCAAACTTTACATACACTTCAAGGTCTAGCTAATAATGAGGTGCCAGTGAAGATGCTACACCCTATCCTTCCTGATCTAGATCTCCTCACTCTTCGCGGCAGCAAGCTGCAATCAGTCAGCTACAAGATTGGAAAGCAGTCTCATCATATAACGCTCTAATTTCTTAGCTGTCATAGAGAGGGATCCCTGACAGCTTAGAAAGGGGTAACCATTAGTGTACTAAGTTATCGCTACAATGTGTTAAACATCAATTTTCTGTGTGCGTGTTTATATTTAACCCACTTGTAACCGCGGCTGGTTCCCTTATTTACCACTCGAACGTCTTAAAGCATAGAACTTAGCAGGGCTAACCATACAGATATCTTAGCCATAATTTTATATAGTTAGTAAGAGATCCTCTATTTAAAATATATAAATAATTGAGAATACAATATAAAATAAGGATTGTCTTGGAAGCAATAAAAATTTGCATTTGCCTATAACACACTGTGCATACATTAACTTAACAGCTTGCTGCAATGTGTATATTTTTTTTGATTTAAAGCCAAAGTAGCCAAACTGGGAAAAGCCAGCTGTGATTACAGTTTGACTTCTTTGGCTTTAAATGTATTAGTCACTTTGTAGTCCTGACAATTTTCACTTTAGTGACCCTGCAAAAGTAATCTACTGATGAATATTCTTGCCTGCATCCTGCACGTTTTAGGTCTCATGAATCAAATATTTTGAATGAGCAACAATGTACTCTGGAAATGCTAGGCCATGGCAGGCGATAGGGTCACTACAACTGTCAGTTACCTTGATTCTACCATCTACTGAATGCTAAACACATTAACCATTGTTGTCATTCATTAATTTATGTTATTGGCTCATTTATTTTAAATCCCCCCCCTCCCCCATTCATAATATTGTAAAGTGCTGCGGAATTAGTTGGTGCTTTATAAATACCAATATTGATAAGAATTAACACAGACCTTGCAATGCCGCTTTCCTCTTTCTGTTTCACACTGCTAAATTTTGGCTCCGTCTCTGCAAGCTCCTTCTGTTTTTCCTCTATTTTTTCCAGTAGCTTTTGTCTTTCTTTTAACAAACGTTTCTAAGAGAGGTTTAAAACAATTAAATACATAACTTACATTATTTGGAGAAGTATTCAATTAATGTAAATAGAACTAATTATAAACAAAATGGACTCAGGTTTAATCATTCGATTTTAAACGTATCTTTTAATCCAATAGTCATAGATTAACTTCAACTATGATATTTAGAGGGGAACTATCACTTTAATGTAAATTATACCAATAAAAAGTTGAAAAATATGTTATGGGCGATTTTCGTCTTTTAAATGATTTCCATTTTGTTTTAAATTTATATGAAAGATTTAGCAAGTTAAAGTGTTACTCCAAGCAACATGCCTGCTTCATTGATTTGAGGTGGTCATGGTGCCTGGAGTCTGTATGTGCAGCATTTCACTTTGAACTACTCTGTCTTCTCCCCACCCATCATCCCTCCCCCTCTGCCAAGGTCGATCAAACTGAGGGGAGAATTTGTCCACAGAGCTGGAAACCAGGTGAGGTTTACCATTTATATATTTTTTGTAATTAAAGTGCGTACTGAGAATATCACAATACAAGCTAATAAAAAAGAGCAAAACAAAAAGGATGAGGACTACACAATGCTTGTAGCAGGACAAGAAAAACGGTTTGGCAGAGAACCGTTTATTGTATATACACATATTTGTTTAATGGGTGGGGCTACTCTAACCTGAACTATACCGTTATACTAATGGTATCCTTTGCAGATGAAGAGGAGAAAGAATTTAAATAAAAATAAACCGTATTAAAAATCCTGGGAAGTGAAAGCTCCCTTTTACGTGTGTCCATTATACAATTACTGAACAATTTTAATTTGTTTTTTTATTTGATCTTTTATTTAAAAAAAAATTAAGATTAGTAATCAGGGTATACTAATTCTACTTTATAGTGCCTGGTACATATAAAATATAACTTGTACAGGAAAAATATTAAATCAATACATTATTCTAGCACGTGCATCATTTTTAGAGCAGATACCGATAATCTGTGAACTTTCAGGCCGATAACTTACCTATATTCTGTACATTTACCATTTTGAAAAAATAAACTATTTCTAAAGGTAAATGCACAAAATATACATGCCACATGTGGTTGATGCAGCGTGTTTAGACAGGGGAGCTGTATGTGTGTTTGTGTTGTGTGTGTAGTGGATGCAGTGTGTATCTATGTAGTGTGTATAGAATGAATACAGAATGTGTGTGTGTTTATAGTGAATGTAGTGTGAGTAAAGTGAATGCAGTGTGAGTGTAGAGTGTATATAGTGAATGCAGTGTGTGTGTAGTATGTATATAGTGAATCGAGGTGTGTGTATAGTGAATGCAGAGTGTGTGTCGTTTTGTGTAGTGTGTTTAATGAATTCAGTGTTTGTATAGTGTGTGTATATAGTGAATGCGTATGTTTGTGTAGTGTGTGTATCGTGAATGCAGAATGTGTGTGTTTGTGTAGTGCGTGTATATAGTGAATGCAGAGTGTGTGTGTTTCTGTAGGTATGTAATTTGGTAATTTGGGAGGCGTGAGGGGCATTTTTTATTTAACTTTTTAAAAAAAAAAATATTTAAATTATTTAATTTTTTTAGTCCCCCCCCCGCTTCTTACTTGGCCAGGGAGGGGGGAAATGGCATTCCCTGGTGGTCCAGTGGCATGGACTGTGTAGAAGGGGCCAAGCAAGCGCTTACTTACCTTCCCAGAAGCTCCCCTGTCTAACTCACGCAGCCTGTGAGTGGTAACCACTCTGACGGCCACGGGTCTCGCAAGATTTATACAGGGGAGCTTAAAGAAGCTACTGGGAAGGTAAGTAAGCGCTTGCTGCAGGCCCCCCCAGGACCATGAGAAGCCCGGCGGTCCTGGTATGCATTATCGGCAATATCGGTATCTCTATAGGCCGATACCGATATTGCAGAAAATACCGAATATATGCCGATAATATCGGCCAGACCCATAATCGAACGATCTCTAGCCCTTATGTGCCATGGCAACAATCCCCAAAACCTAGCATAAACCTGAACTGTGAGATGATGTTCATATATTAAAGGACCACTATAGTGCCAGGAAAACATACTCGTTTTCCTGGCACTATAGTGCCCCGAGGGTGCCCCCACCCAGGGCCGGCGCTTCCTATAAGGCGAACTAGGCAGCCGCCTAGGGCGCCATATAGGAGGGGGCGCCCTGCGCCCCCATCGCCGGCCCTTTAAATTCTGCAGCCGCCTGAGCGCTCTATAGAGAGCGCTCAGGCGGCTGCCGCAGTGCCTCACCTCCCTGCCCTGCTGTAGCGTGGCGAGCTCCTTTCCGGTCCGCGACCCGGCCGGAATGACAGGAAGTGCACACCGAGTGTGCACTTCCTGTCAGTCCGGGTCGCGGACCGGATAGGAGCTCGGCCACGCTACAGGGCAGGGGAGGTGAGGAGAAGCTCTGGGAGGGGGGGAGGATGAAGATGATGGGAGGGGGAGATGATGGGGAGATGATTGATGGAAGGAGGGGGAGACATGATGGGGGAGATGATGATGGGAGGGGGGGGGGAGATAATGATGATGGGGGAGATGGAGGGGGGAGATGATTGATGGGGAAGATGATGGGGGGGAGATAATGATGATGGGGAGATGATTGATGGAGGTGATGATGGGGAGATGGAGGGGGAGATGATTGATGGAAGGATGGGGAGATGATTGATGGAGGGAGATGATGGGGGAGATGGGAGGGAGATGATTGATGGGGATGATGATGATGATGGGGAGATGGGAGGGGGAGATGATTGATGGGAAGGGGAGATGATTGATGGGGAGATGATTGATGGAGGGGAGATGATTGATGGGAGATGATTGATGGGGGAGATGATTGATGGGAGGGAGGGGGAGATGGGAAGGGGAGATGATGGGGAGATGATGATTGATGATGGGGAGAGATGATTGATGGGAAGGAGGGGGGGGGAGATCCTGTTCTACACCAGACCAGTGGAGCCAGACTGCAGCCAGAGCCCATCACCATCCTCATCTGATTGTAAGTAGGCAATCTAGTATATTATTAGTGACACTAATCTCTAATTTACCTCATATTAAATGGACACTATAGTCCCCAGAACCACTGCAGCTTAATAAAGTTGTTCTGGTGTCTATAGTTTGTCCCTGCAGGCTTTTTAATGTAAACACACACTGTGTGCAGCACTGGCATTAGTTCATATGGGTGGGGCATTGCGATGTTCTTTCTTTTGCCTAGGGCGGCAAAAATCCTTGCACCGGCCCTGCCCCCACCCCCAGGGACCCCCTCCCGCCCGGCTCTGGAAAGAAGAAAAGGGGTTAAACTTACCTTTTTCCAGCGCTAGGCGGAGAGCTCTCCTCCTCCGATCCTCCTCCTCTCCTCCCTCCTGGGCTGGCTGCGCGCGCATTCAGCCGGTCACATAGGAAAGCATTCATAATGCTTTCCTATGGACGCTTGTGTGCTCTCACTGTGAAAATCACAGTGAGAAGCACGCAAGCGCCTCTAGTGCCTGTCAATGAGACAGCCACTAGAGGATTAGGGGGAAGGCTTAACCCATTCATAAACATAGCAGTTTCTCTGAAACTGCTATGTTTATGAAAAAATGGGTTAACCCTAGCTGGACCAGGCACCTAGACCACTTCATTAAGCTGAAGTGGTCTGGGTGCCTAGAGTGGTCCTTTAAGGGACAGGGCAGCTATGTATGGAGCAAGCACGTCCATTAACAAAGGCCATCTTGGAGGTTGAGGAGGATATCCAGGCCAATATAACTTTTCAAGCTATACATTTCCTGGCAATTTTGTCAGTACAATGTATAGATCAATTGTACAAGACAGGACAGGGTGATTTATTGTGGATAAGGTGCTCATCGAAAATAATGCAGGGTTTTACTCATGTGTGGTAACAATACTTGCATGATGGATGTCAGTCTCTCACTTAGTTTGACCGAGACCCAATACTCACTCTCTGTTCACTGTTTCCCGCCAGTTCATCCTGCAAATCCTTCGCTTTCAGTTCCAGTTTGGTTCTCTGTTTTATCTGCTCCTGTCTCTCAGAACTCAGCTGTTCCTTTTCCTCTTTCATTGCAGATATTTTGGATTTCAACTCACGGACTTGACGCTCAATTTCCTATTATAAAAAGAATTCAATAAATAAATAAATAAAGATAGCAATCCTATCTTTGCCAATCCTTAAAGGGACACTATAGTCACCAGAACAACTACAGCTTATTGAATTTGTTCTGGTGAGTAGAATCATTACCTTCAGGCTTTTTGCTGTAAACACTGTCTTTTCAGAGAAAATGCAGTGTTTACATTACATCCTAGTGATAACTTCACTGGCCACTCCTCAGATAGCTGTTAGAGATCCTTCCTGGGTCATGGCTGCCTAAAATGCATCCAAACATTCAGTATCTCCTCCCTCTGCATGCAGACCATGAACTTTCCTCATAGAGATTCATTGACTCAATTCATCTCTATGAAGAGATGCTGATTAGCCAGGGCTGTGTTTGAATCGTGCTGGCTCTGCCCTTGATCTGCCTTCTTGTCAGTCTCAGCCAATCCTATGGGGAAGCATTGTGATTGGATCAGGCCACCACTTCTGATGATGTCAGAGGAAGGTCAGAGACAGCAGCTTCAGACTTGAATACAAGTAAGATTTTACTATCTTTAGGGAGACCAAGGGGACTAGATAGTGGTTTTAACACTATAGGGTCAATACATGTTTGTGTTCCTGATCCTATAATGTTCCTTTAACATTGAAGACACCGAATTACATTTTCATTATCAGGTTTTACCATGGACATAACAGGTTAACAATAATACAAGCAAATTCTACTTTACAGAAAGGAACAGTTCAGTACAACTAGAACATTAAAAAAAAAAACTACTAAAAAGCGGCACTGTCTTGGCCGAATCCCGTTTGTTTTTGTTTTTTTATAATTTCCAAACCATAATACCTGTCGAACTTATCAAATAAAAATCAAAAACCCTGACGCTAAAAATGAATCCATCGTCACCCAGACTGACCTCCGCAGGGCTGGGAAAGTTTTATAAAGCCTTCCCACAACCTGCAATTTCTTTGGAATTTTCCCACGCTGTGTAAATAGACTCCGAGCACTCTGGTTGGTTGGATTCCAAGCCAAATAATCAAAGTGCTCTGTGTCAAATTGCAGGGCGTGGAAAGGCTGCGCTGTGCCCTCGCCGGGTGAAGATGGATCCATTTTTAGTGTCGGGTTTGTAAGTTCGACTGGTATTGTCGTTTTTTTATTTGGCCTTTTTTTGAGGCTAAAGAAAGAAGGTTTTAGAAAAAAGAAGACTTCTAATGATAAGTCTGATTTTCATTTTTTCCAGGTATTTAGTTTTATTGTCTCCCCCCTCATTATTTTAAGAAAGTGGGGAGTAGGTAGGGATTGATTTCATTTTATTTGGGTGGGGGGGGTATTTTGACACTTAGCCCCTACCCGTCGCCCATGGGTGGGGGCAGGATAATAGGTTCCCCCCTTATTGTTATTTAGGGCCCCCACCCGCCGCTCGTGGGGGAGGACAATAGGTCCCCCCAACATTTTCATTTAGGGCCCCGACCCGCCACTCATGGGTGGGGTCGGGGGGAGGACAATAGGTCCTCACCCCCTCTTGTAATTTAGGTCCACCACCAGTCTTGGAAGAGGGGATACTAGGGTTTTTATGGTTTTGTTTTTTACTAGACATGTCCCTACTCGCGATATAGTAATTTTTACTTAGTATTAGTAAAGTTGGCTGAAAGACCAAATTAGGTCTTTCAGCCTTTTGGTACATAGCTCCCTGAAACCATGGGAATTAGGGAGTTATCTACTAAGCGGCTGCTACATGCAGTCGCGGCACGAATAGGATCGGAGTTTCCTTCATTCTAATGAACAGATAATTGAATATCACCTAGGGGTTGATGTGACTTTTGCGTTTTCTGCTTTCTGCTATGGACCATAAAACTACATAGAGCAAAAGAAGCAGATTGTTTAAATCAAGCTTTCCTGCTTAAACTTCAACTATCTCACTGTTAACTATTCATTATTTTGGTATTCATAAAATCACCAAAATATATACCAACTGAACACCAAATATGCAAAAACTACAGATGCTCACCTCCATTTTATCCCTAGCATCCTGTTGTGCGTCCCTCAGCTGTCGAGATTTTTCTCCACTTGTCTCTCGCTTTGACGAAAGCTTTCAAAATAAAATTTACATTTTAATACACAAGTATCATGACAAGATATGCAAGACTCTATATGTCATATAGGCAAAGGTGTCAAATACAGCAAACATTGCACTCAAGACATGAATGTAAAAAAATTTTTTATTTGCATTCCATTCTGATAACTGAGGTTTCAAGCAGCATTCCGCAGACATTGCAATGCTTCTTTGGACATCACTAATTTACTGAAATATCAAATTAAAATTGGGCAAAGTACATGCAAATGTTCTTAATGCTATCTTAGTAGGGCTAGTACTGAATCCATCCACAGCACGTTAACATGCTGAAAGGCATAGAATCGTAGCCAAAGGTGCTCACAAAGGGTGGAGCAAGCTATTAGAGAATTCACTATGGTTTTCTACAAGAATCAATGAAAATGGATTTAACCGAACTTACTTCATCAAGCTTTGCTCGAGTTTCGTTCAGTTCCTGATTGTAAATGGTGTACTCTAGCGCTCTCCTCATCTTATCCCACTTCTGGTACTGTGCCAGCTCCTCCTTTTCCTCCTCCAGAGTATGTAACCTTTCTTCTATATACTTCAGCAGCTCATTGATCTTCTCACGTTTACCCTCTACATGCAAGAGTGATAAAACAATAAGGAAAGGGGTGCAACTTTATCATTATTAAAAGTAACCCGTGAATCAGTATTTACCTGTTTCCTTCATTAAAGAGATACTTTCTTCTTTCCGTTCATCGTACACTCTGGTCCCTGCCACTTCCCGCAACAGTTTCAGCCTTTGGGAATCCGGAGCTGTTGCCATCTGATTAATCTAAAATTGCAGAGCACAACAAATGTAATGTTATAATAAACAGGGTAAGCGAATGCATGTAAAAAATGTTTTTCAATGGAATAAAAAGCCTACTTTGCTATCAGCTTTATAAACATGCTAGGTAAACATGCTAAGGAAGTAAAAACAGAATATTGCAAATAATTACTGTTGACACATTAAAGGACCACTAAAGTCACCCAGGCCACTTCATTGAGACGAAGTGGCCGGAGTGCAGTGGAGAAACTGCAATATTTACATTGCAGGGTTAAATCCTACTCCAGTATAATTCGGTCGCATGATGTGGAAGCCGCCATAGGAAAGCATTGATTCAATGCTTGCCTATGCGAAAGCACTGCTGATCGCAGGGCACTCGCCTTGCTTACTCCATAACCTGGCAGGAGGCAGAGAGGTGAATATACATAGAACTGGGGGCAGTAAAGCATTAGAAATACATACACAAATAATGTGTCGGCAGATAAGAACTATTTGGGCCCATCTAATCTGCCCAATTTTCTAAATACTTTCATTAGTCCCTGGCCTTATTTTATAGCTAGGATATCCTTATGTCTATTCCACGCATGATTAAACTCCTTCACTGTGTTAACCTCTACCACTTCAGCTGGAAGGCTATTCCATGCATCCACTACCCTCTCAGTAAAGTAATACTTCCTGATATTTTTTTTTAAACCTTTGCTCCTCTAATTTAAGACTATGTCCTCTTGTTGTGGTAGTTTTTCTTCTTTTAAATATAGTCTCTACATAGGTTTGTATTCCCAACAATTTGATGTTCCTTTAGTTAACAATCAAGACTGAGGCTTTTTGGTAATCCCATGCATTTGGAACAAAAACAGAGAATATTAGAACTCTGAGAACAGGCAAAAAGCTTAGAGAAACTCAGTAGCTTGTCCTTCGATTAGTAGCTCTGAGAACAAGCAATAGCTAAGAGAAACTCAGCAGCCAGTAACCTAAGCACAAAGGGTAATCCAGATATGGATCCCATTCACAATGCCCAGAGGGGTATCAGCTACACCTTGTTGACGAGGCCCAATGAAGGCCAAAAACGATCGTCCGAAGTTGCTGTACATCTGGTGCAGAGGGAAATTGCCTTTATTTCAGTTCTGGACTGCCCTTATGGCATCGGTCTGATATGTAAATGGAATATGTTCTCTTTGTAATGGCAAAAATATTTTTAAAACCTGAGCGGGGATTACTGAAGGGCCAGCTACTGAGTTTCTCTAAGCTTTTGTTTGATCTCATATTCTCTATTTTCGAAGAAATCTATTTGGATTAATTTCAGACGATAGTAAAACGATCTTACCTTGCCTTGTTTCACGATATAATAAGGGTTACTGCGGGAAAAGCCGGCACTTTCAAGGAGGTTCATAACATCGTTTTTCCTACATGAAAATAAATAGGTTAGCCAAAATGGTGATTTTCAAATTACAATGTGCGCAACTTGTATGTTAGACAACTAAACAAGACGTAATAGTGTGCAAACAGAAAAAAAATATACATATTAATTGCATTAAATGGCATTAGCCAAATAATAATCATGTAGTAGTGGACAACAATCTGATAATATAGAGTCTATAAGTCAGTGTAGATTGTTTATTTATATAAAGTAACTATTTCCACTTACGTCACCATTTTCTTGTCTAAGAAATACTGATCCTTCTTTGCTCCAATAACTCTTCGAAGGGAAACCTCCTCTTTGTCAATCTGGACAACAAAATATGATCAGTATAGAAACAGAGGAAGTTACATTCTCATATTTCAAGTAATATTAAAAGATATGAATAAAAACATTAAAAAAAATTCTTACAGGTAATCTGTTGTCAGAGTTGTCAAATATAATTTCCACAAAAGCAGAAATAACACGAGGTCCAGTTCCTTCCTGAAATATAAAACACAGCCCCATCAGAATTAAACTTGCACAAGAAGAACCAGCATAGAAATCTACTATATGGCTCTAACTATTAAGCAAAGCTGTACCTTTTCTCACTTTAATAGTTTGAATTATTCCACAGAGATATGAAGATACGAGGTTAAAGTCTGATAGCTAAATTATTTGCACCTAAAACTTAAACAATTTCCTACTCAGTTCGTCACAGTTCCCAGTTAGGTGACTAAATTCATTCTCACTACCAGCAATGTCACGCACCCAACTTATCTCAATGTTCAAATCATTATTTTAGAAAAAAGACGGTACAACGCTTTATATATGTATCTGATGACACCAATATGAAGACATTATTTTAAAATTATATTTAAACAAAATAAACATAATATTGTCCTGGATCCACTGACTGATAGAACCAAAAGCACAGGACGCGGTTTACTCACATGTAGTAAAGCCAACCTTTGCTCTGGACGTAGATGACTGAATTCATCGCTGAGAACGAACTGAATGGCTGAGGATAGAAGAAAACAGAATTTCAAGAATTTTTTTTATTAAGGGTGCAAATTTTGAAAACCATACATTTGAATTCTAAATGTTACACACAAATTGTGATTTGATCTGGAAAGAGTACATGATATCATCTTATAAACGGTTACCCATGCCATTCTAGCTAAATTGTGAGAAAAAGTCTAGATTACACTTTTGTTTTAATTGAGTATCGCAGTATGTATTTAGGGAGCATGGACATGCACACTGCCAATCATGTTTACAAGGTCCACAATTCTATACCAGCACATAAAATTCTGTGGTATTAGAGGGACATTACAGGCACTATCCCATTTAATTGGTGCAGTGCCCGTCTGGTTCACCCTGCAATGAGAAACTGCAATGATTACATTGCAAAGTTAGCTGCACCTCTAGATGCTTCCACACAGTCACTAGTGGTGCTCCCAAGTCCCTAGCTAAGTTTTACTCCATGTCCAAACACTGGCTATCTTCACGCTTTGCATGACGAAGTCTAACATGTTCTATGTTCCCCATAGGAAAGCAGTGATTCAATACTTTCTTATGAGGAAGTTTAAATGTACATGCCACATGCCATGCATGTGCATAGGATCCCACCATCACAATAATGTTGTGGGAGGAGGAGACCTAACCAGTGCCGATGGAGCCTCAATGCTGGAAAGAGGTGAGGTAAGAAAGGATTTTTAATCCGTTTTAACCGAACCAGTGGGGAGGACCTACAAAACTAGGAGCACTAGAACATTAGGAATACAGGTATAATATATGCTGTTACTTTACTCTATGTACATTGTGGGTGTGAACTGTGCTTAGACCAAAACAATCGAGTAATTTACTAATTTGTCAAGATAGTTCCTCCAGTTCTTTCCAAGTGTTTCTAAGGGTTTGACAAAACACAGGGCTCTCCCACTAACCAGAGCCTTGCCCTGTCGCTGCCAATGAGATAATGTACAAGGTTCATTTGAATATTATCCATACAACTGCATCCAAACCCGGAGAGCAGTGACAAGCTGTGAGCACTGGGGGAAACTTAGCTCAATGTCCCCTTGCAAACAAAAAGACTTACCGTAGAAGAAGTTACTTTTTCCTGATCCATTTCTTCCCACTAAAAACATAAAATAAAGTGCATGAAAACTTTGTAGAAGTGGGAAAGCGAAAAAGAAGTATATAAAAGCGGACAGAGAAAGGCACAGCTGGTATAAAAAAAAAATAATATATATATATATATATATATATATATATATATATATATATATATATATATATATATATATATATATATATATATTTTTTTTTAAAAGTGGACCAGTCATATAAATGAAACATGGTGTTACTGCATAGTATGAAGATTATTAGATTGTAGCTCATTCATTTACATGGTTGGCATGAAGGTAGAAACTACAAGTATGGTGTCTGGGTGCTGGTAGTGTGTTAGCCAAGCACTGTCAAACAATGAATGTCATCCAAGATGAAAGAAACTGACAATGATATTCTGAAAGTGTTAATTGTACATTAATAATGTGGCAAGGAAAGGATAATTTCTAGGACACTCTAGGCACAAAACCCAATACAGAGTTCCAAAGTGGTTATGTTGCTATGAGTGCCCCTTTAAATAAAACTGCTTAATCAATGTTTCATTCATTTGCAAAAGTTTTGATAAACTTACCAATTACATTGTGTTTTGAACTAAATGGATCAACAATGGTTTGGTCTCTGTAGCTTCTGAAGCCCTGGATAATGACCTTAAATAAAAAATAAAAACATGTTTTAGAGAAGAGAACTGGTTCACTATAAAAATAATGCAATTTGAATACACTTATTTCAGTATCCACGATATGTAATTTATAGTTGTGGTTTTTTGTTAATTGTAGCACCTAATCAAAAGGTAGTGTTCACCTTATATCACTAAACACTTAAAGATCCATACTGAGGATCTAGTGGTTCCATTTACATCCTGGGAATGAATACACCAATGCAATAAACATTATTTTACCCTCTGAATGTTTTGAGCCCCTATATACATCGTAAAGGGTCACTGATCACAAACAACATTCAAGCGCAAATATTTTAACTATACATTGTGCTAGCAGTTTTGATAGCAAATGTATAGATTAAGAGAAAATTCTATTTACAATATATTTTTTTTTCTCCAAGTTTTCAGTCAATGCCTTGGCTGTCACTCAATGCAGAAGCCCTGACTGAAAAGGGTGAGCAGAAAAAAAGTCTCCAACAGGAGGTCCCTCTGCTTCCCTCCCATAGCCCCGGCTAGGGAGTATAGGAATGGAGTAATGTGACGTCACTCCGTTCCAATGCCATCACGCAGGCAACAAAGTCAGCGTGCCAACATCACTGAGCAGATCTGCCCTGCTTGGGGATGCGTCCCAGGCAGGGAAAATCAAAGAAAACTTCTGGAGGATCACCGGTGGAGTGGAGAATGTCCAGCAGGTGGGTGTTACATGAAGGAAGAAAGGTGGGTAAATCTTTATATTTTACATTGAATACAGCATTTATCTTTGTGATATATACAGTGTATGCAATGAATATAGGAGCGATTCCAAGTAAATTCATTGTTTCACAACAGGTTCACTTTAAGAGTGCAGAAAATTAGCTCTAACCGTGTTGAATAAATGCTATGATTTAATGACACCACAACTAAAACACAGGCCTCCCCCCCCCGAGCTGTCAATCTGCTGGCGAAAATTCTTGCAGATTCACAGTTTAGTTGCAGCATTGCTGCTATTCGTTTACACAGCTGTTCCACCGTGGGGGTACTGGGCACCTATGCCAGGTCACCACCTTTATTGTTACTAATCTTTTGTGACACAGAAAAAATACTGTTGGATAAACTTTTAAAGTGATAATTTTAAAATATTTAAAAAAACAAAACAAAAACATACAAAATATATTAATATATCAAAAAGTATTGAAATATTAGGATATTTTTCCAACTATTAAATCATTTGAGTAGTTTATCCAATAAAAATATTGAACACACAATCATCCACTCCTATAGAATAAAAAATTAGGGCGGAGCTTGACCATCGAGCTATACAGACGCCATTCAGACAGGCTCCTCTGTCAACTGGCACAATCTGCAGCCAATCCAGCTTCCACCAGCTGGACTCCCTACTTCCTCCTGAGGCGATAGATGCCATTCTTCGCGGCTTCCACCCAGCCGAAGCTGAGGCGGAAAATCGGGCCTACCCCATGCTGACACTCCCAGACCTGGAGAAAATATTCAAAATATTTTACCCCATGCCACAGTCAAGAAGACGGTCACTGAGGAGATATACCGCCTACCTACATCTGCAAAGTTGCGCTCAAACACGCACAGAGCTGTGATACTCAGGTGCCCAACTGTCCACGACAAGATACAGATCATGTCTCACGGTGTGAAGCTGCGATTGAACATCCACATACTTCAGAAGTCACATATCTGTGGCACACTCACCTCTATGCCCACGAGACACTCTCCCGACATATTTACTTACACCAGAGTGTGCCATAACAAGGGCACCAGGACCGACTATGAGAACCACACTTACGATCAATAAATGTTACATAGGGCATGACCTAGATCCAAGTTTTCAGCATGTTTAAAAAATATTTTATAAATGGTGTAAACACGCAAAATGATAGTTATATAATGTTGATGATATATATATATCGGAACCTCTATCATGCAATATACTGTTTTATTGTCTGGCTCATGCAATGCACCGCAAAAATTAAGAATTTACAAAAAAATAAATTAAAAAGAACATTATAGCATAAAACCCTTTCCTGAATTTAAGCGATGAGGTCCCTTTGGTGCTTGATCACTCTCCTAAAATGGCGATGTCGCGCTGATGGAGCACGTAATGTGCATGTGCGGCAAACACCACGCACACGTTAGACCTTCACCACCGGAAAGCATTAAATCAATGCTTTCCTATTGGGACTATGAAGACGTTGAATGCCCTCGTTCAGTGCCAGGAAGCGCATCTATGTAAATATTGCAGGTTCTCTCATAAAGTGGGTACGTATAAGAAAAAATTATTGCAGGGCAAAGTTCCAAAACTGAAACCGTCGCCATGGAAACCAATGGAAGAGTGATGCTGACTGCTTTATTTTTAGAACTCTTCCGCAGAATTACGGTTTACATACTTCTAATAGTATGCAAGAGGTTCTGCAGCAGTACCAGACTTGTATTTCTGATTGACTGAAAAATAATGAATGAATGGCTTGTGCATATCTCAAGGCCAGGGGCATTGCTAGAGAGATCTTACTTGGGCTGGAGGAGGGTTCTGAGAAATTGCAATGTTTACATTTGTGAGAGAATACACGTGTCTGTTATTAGTCCACCCATTGTATAGCGCTACGGAATTTGCTGGCGCTATATAAATGATAAAATAATAATAATAATAATAATATATGTAAGACTGACAAAAATGGAAGGGCTTCAAGTTCTGTATCATCACGCTCAACCGGTTGATCATGAACCTGATTAGCAGAGAACAACAACAGCTACGCACGTATGGTAGGTTGTCAATGCTTCTCTATGATTAGTTTTGAATTGGACCTGAGATCATTAGAATTGTCATCTCACAGCAGGCAGAGCGGCTGCCACAACAAGACAGGTTCAGCATTGGATAAAAGGTAGACTTGTGCACATATGCCTTTCAGCTGCATTGAACAAACCATATCCTTGCTCAAACCAGGGAGCAGCCACATGTGCCCACCAAGGTCAGTATCAGTGTGAGCATGTCTGCATGGGTCAGTGAGTGTGTGTGAACAAGGATGGATCTTCACAAACTCTGAAGTTTTCATTAACAAAAGAAAAACCTAGTAGGGTAAATCTCACCTTAAGTGGTTATGCAGCCGCCGAAGACTTTCTGGTGTGCTGTGCTTAAAATCTTGTGTACTCGTTTTGGGCTTGCAAGTATGTTTTGTCCAAAAAAATTGTGCAGCAGTGCTGAGTTGGAACACACAGTGTCCCAAAAGTTATGTAGCATTCATATCCCATTGTACAGCACTCGGGAATTTATTGGCACTATATAAATAATAATAAGTTGGCACGAACACTGCTCAAAAAGTTGTGAGCACTCCCGGATGCACTATATAAAATGTTGTGCAGCAGTGCTTGAGTTGGGACGCACAGTGTCCTAAAGCTTGTGCATCAATCCTGGGTAGACAGACGCACTGTCCAAAAGGCTGTGCACCATTCATAGCATGGCATGCACACTGTCCAAAAGGCTGTGCAACATTCATAGCGTGGCATGCACACTGTCCAAAAGGCTGTGCACCATTCATAGCGTGGCATGTGCACCATTCATAGCGTGGCATGCACACTGTCCAAAAGGCTGTGCACCATTCATAGTGTGGCATGCACACTGTCCAAAAGGCTGTGTACCATTCATAGCATGCACACTGTCCAAAAGGCTGTGCACCATTCATAGCGTGGCATGTGCACCATTCATAGCGTGGCATGCACACCATTCATAGCGTGGCATGCACACTGTCCAAAAGGCTGTGCACCATTCATAGTGTGGCATGCACACTGTCCAAAAGGCTGTGTACCATTCATAGCATGCACACTGTCCAAAAGGTTTTGAAGTACTCCTGGGTAAACAGACGCAATGTTCGAAAGGCTGTACAGCATTCTTAGGTTGACGCGCATACTATACAAAAATGTGTGCAGCAGTCTCATACAAGGGGGGATACATATTAAAAAAAATGATTCCAGGGCAAAGTTCCAAAAATGCAGCAGTCACCATGGAAACCAATGGAACCCTGATGCTGACTGCTCCATTTTTAGCTCTCATCCCCAGACTCACTGTGTCCATACTGCCATAATATCCAAGAGGTTCTTTATTATTTATTTATGTGCCAACAGGTGGTGAAAGGAAGAGGGGCTCACCCTGTGGAGACATAGATCAGGGGGGATAGGTCACCTTTTGCACTCCAGATATTGCGGACTACATCTCCCGTGATGCATTGCCAGCACTGGAGCATTATGGGAGATGTAGTCCAGAAGATATGAGGTGCCGTAGGTTGTCTCCCCGTGTAGCTATGGGGGGCTCTCCCATCCCCCCTCCCTGTCCATAGCGCAGGCCGTTGCTGGAGGAGGAGGTTCCAGGCCAGCTCACACACTCGAGCCCCAGGCTTCACCATAACAAACAGGCCGCAGTGCCGCCAGCGCGCCCCCCCGGGCTCGGACACTTACCTGCTTGATATACATAGTGCACCGGACCGAGGCCCCCGCCGCCCTGAGCCGCACACGGTCACCGATGGATCACACCCTCTCCCGGGATCCTCGAAAACACCGCGCGATCTCCCGCCAGCAAACAAAATGGCGGCCGCTCCCCAGCTCCTGAGGCAGCCAGGACCGTACCAAGTGGCGAGGGGAGCACCGCTGCGCTGTGGCGGCCAGCGGAGGAAATGCAGCGAGCAGCCAGCGGCAGGGGAACCCCAGGGGGGCTTCAATATCCGCACTGATTGTACAGGCATCATGCAGGACGTGTGGGAGGGGGCTTTTACTGAAACTTAAAGTGAATTTAAATGGGGATCCCCCCCGCGTTGCAGGACAATGGTTTTGTCTGCGGGGGGTATGGCTGGCGCCAAAACAGAAAAGTCCAGTGAGCTCAGTGAGAGCTGAGGCAGAGCGAGGCGCTCTCCTGGCGCCAACACATACCGCAGCGCAGATAGTGCTTTCAATGTGATTTTAACACCATTACATGTGGGATTAATTGGAAATCCGCCCACTTTATGCCATGTCTCTCTAACTACACCTTTTTAAGAAGGGAGACAAGCTGGGGTTTGGGGTTATTGTGCAACATTGGAGGCTGATCTGTATGGGCATAAAATGTTACCCTACAATAATGGAAGGACAATATCCAGCTCTCCATAACCAGTTATCACACGCGAAAATCCATAGCATTTTATTAGACTGTTCCACCAAACCCTTGGATCACTTGTACTCTCGTCCTCCAAAACAAAGAAAATCCACTGTATACATTCTAATATCACTTACGGACTAGAACTGGCCACACGATAAATCATATGGGTCCTGCGAGTTGGCCGGAACATTATTCTAACCTCACAATTGAAATCTTGATTTTAGTATCCTCTTGAATTAGCAAATGTTTATCAGCAACTACGTTAGGCCAACACCTTGGACATTGGTAGACTCGTTTTCCATAACAAAGCATACCCAATGAACACAGTCTATTAATACTTACGGACTAGAACTGACCACACAATAAATCTTATGGGTGCTGTGAGTTGTCCGGAACATTTCGCTAACCTTACAATTGAAATCTCGGTTTCAGTATCATCTTGAATTAATAAACTGTTACCAGCAACTACATATCAGGAGATGTGTACACCAAGCTTATTTTACCACAAATATCAGATTTTTTTGGAAATGAAGGATCTGTATCACTGCTTCACGTCTTTCGAGCACACCCAGAAAATCTGGTAGTTGGTAAAAATTTAAGATACTCATACACTTAAAATAGTTTAGAATTGAACCTGGAACTGGCAGTTTTGGGTTGTGGAGATGGGTCTAGATCAGGGGTAGGCAACCTTTTAGCAGCACTGTGCCGATATAGGATTGTGATGTCCCGTAGCGTGCCGGTCCTATTTTTTTTTTTTTAATCGAGGGGTGTATGCTGTATTCTGCTTTGTATCGTTGTATTTGTCCGTATATGCAGGGCCGTCTTTAATAGTGACTGGACCCTGGGCAAAGCATTTGCTTGGGGCCCCCTGAACCCTGTCCCCTCTCCTCAGGCATGCAATCACGTCCTCCACCTCAACGCAGTGGCGGACCTAAAGTAGAGAGGTGCAAGAATTTTTGGGGGTCTCCCTGTTGCACGGGTGATTAAAAGGTAGATCCCCATCTGTCGTGCAACTCCAGAAATGCATTGACAGCTGGGGCTCTACCATTTACCCATGTTTGCAGGTCTGTATTTAGCACTAAGCAGTTTTTGTGTGTTTGAATGTAAACAGGTTTTTGTATGGAATATGTTTGTATGTGGTGTTGGCGTGATTGCAAGCATGTATTTGTGTAGTGTTGGTTTTTGAATGCAGGGGTGTATTTACATATCATTTTGGTGTGTAACACAGACATGTGTTTGTACGTAGTGTTGAAATTTGAATGCAGGGGTGTATTTGTGTGTAGTGTTAGTGTGTGAATGCTGAGATGTATGCACATATACACACACACACACAGAGATATATACACACTGAAATGCGCACACACACACAGACATACTGACACACAGACATGCTGACATACAAACATATTGACACAGACATGCTGACACACACACAGACATACTGACACACACAGATGACACACAGACATACTAACACACACACAGACATACTGACACAGACATACACTTTAAAACCCACCCTCCAGTTCCCTACCTTTCCTGCTGGTGGCTGAAGGTGTTGGAAGTTGGGGTCTAGCGCTCTCGGCCGGCCCCCTCCAATCTGCCTACTCTTCTTTCCCGCGCGCTCCTCTCTTTGTGGGAGGAAGTGATGCACGGCCGTCACTTCCTCCCAGCCTGCTGCCGAAAAGCAAGGGGCCCGCTGGCGCTTTTAAAGTGCCTCAGCGTGCGACCGGGCCCCTGCTGACAGAAGCCCACTGGGTGGTCCTTTGTGCATGGGCCACCCGGTGGGCCTCCTTAGTGTGCAGATTACCTGCCAGAGGGTTAGAAATAGTTGAGGCCAGCAGGGCTCATGGTGCAGCTGGCCAGTTTGCCCCGCGTTAAAGACGGCCCTGCATATACGAGCTATGGTATTGTGTAAGAAACATATGAATGTGAGCTGTGTATAGGGGCTGCTTGTGGAATTGTGTGTGTGTGTGTGTGGATGGATATGTCACAGTGTGTGTTTGGTAGTGTGTGGGGGCTGTTTGGGGTATTGCATGTGGTGTTGTGTGCATGTATGTGGATTGTTAGTGGTGTTTTGTTTGTGCGGATTGTGTGCATGTTTGTGTGTGGGCTGTCCATGTTATTTGTATGAGGGGAGGGTTAGTCTGCATTATTGTGTATATCTAGCAGTGTGGGTGGCTTCCTGTGGGGACCAGCCCGGCCAGGTACATGTCAAGGATAGGAGCTGCAACAGCAACTGCGAGCTGCCCTACTACAGTGTGGATTCCTATTCACAAGTGCTGGGAGGAAGTGCTCTGAGATTACTTCCTCTACGTGCTGCAACGCATAAATTGAGGATTGTCCTTCACCACCTTTTCTGATTAGCAGATATCTGAAGTTTTACTGGGACTCCTGATAGGCCAGAGCCTGTTTGGCTCTAGCAGCCTTGAGTGCCGTGCAAAGACACCTTGAGTGCCGTGCATGGCACTAGTGCCGTAGGTTGCCTACCCCTGGTCTAGATCAAGCTATTCCAGAGTACAAATGGTCTTTGGGCTGGTTGTCAGATACTTTAACATTTAAAATTGGTTATTTCATATCAGTATCTGGCATTTGTAACTCCTACCTCTCCATCTGGTTGAAAATATAACATGACTGTAACATGTTGACTGGCTGCCTTCATATGAAATTGTCAAGCATGCTATGTTGTTACTGAGTTTGCTTTATATCAGTGTGTTAACTTAGAACGACCTGTACTATTATTACCTTAAAAAAGGTTACCTGCTGTGTACGGTTTATTGCTTAGACCAGGGGTGCCCACAAGGTAGATCCCCCAGATGTTATAGAACTATAACTCCCATTATGCGATGCATTCCTTTGGAATGCTTTTAGAATGACAATGCATCATTGAAGCTGTAGTTTTAGTGGACATCAGTGTTAGTCCTCCCCAGTGATGATATTCTCACTGCGACAAACTGCTTAAACTTTTTCCACATTTTTTTTCTTCTACAAGAAATCCATTAGTGGATAGCTCCCAACACTGACTGAATTTGATGAATTCTTCAATATGTTTGAAAAACTATTTAATTGGTTTTGGAGATGCATTCAAATACATGAGTTTTATGGGGAAATACTAACTTGTCTGGAGACCATCTTACACTTCCCTGTGCCTCTGTTCCTTGAGCTATCCATATCTGTCCCTTGAGCTATCCATATTTGGTATTTTGCCTGATAAAGTTCCAAAATATTCTAGGTCCATCCATATGGCATTGTCAGCTGTCAGAAAGACAATTCTTCAAGCTTACGACCCTAGGTCATGCGTTTAGACTGGAAGAAAGTTTTTTTTTTTACCGTAAGAGCAATAAGGATGTGAAATTCTCTGCCTGAAGAAGTGGTTTTATCAGAGTCTGTACAGATGTTTAAACAGGAACAAGATGCACACTTTCAAAAACAGAATATTTAATGATATAATTTTCAAGTGTAGAGTAATAGCTTCTTATCCAAGGATAAACCTGACTGCCATTCTGAGGTCAAGAAGGATTCCTCCCCTTCCCCCCAGTTTGTTGCAAAATTGGAAGTGCTTCAAACTGGGTTTTTTGAGATGAGGAAGACTGAATTTGATGGGTTCATGTTTCTTTTCAGCCTGTGTAACTATGCAAGCTTGGATTTTGTAATCCTCTGTTAAAGGAAAATTAGCTTATGTGTTTAAATTCGACTTGTTCGAAGCATCCCAAGATTAAAAAAAAAAAAAAAAGCTTATTCTCTTTAATTCTTTATGTATTCTTTTCAAGTAGAACAAGTATGCATGCTGGGTTTAGATGTAACTATGTTCAGTCAGAACAACAGAAACAGTAGTTTGTAGATATCATAATGAAATGTCAATAAAACAATGGTTGTGGAGTATTGTACTATATAATTGCTTTTATTTACCAGAGTTACAATGTAATCTAGATGATAGCCTTTGAACAGTGCTGGTTGTCTGACTGGTGAATGAGCATATTTTATGTATACGGAGTGGATCACTAACCAAGGGAAGTGTATATTCCATTTCGTTTTGGATCTGACATACTTCAGTGTCTGCCAAGAGGTTAACTTGGAGTGTTTTAATGATTGAAGCAAGATGCTACTTGCCACTGAGTGTTTTTCGAAAGATGAGGAGTATGGGGATGGGCAGTGTGGGGCATTAGGTGAAAGTAACTGGGAACTATTTACAAGTGTGAGAGGGGTGTTGAGGACTGATTTACTGAGAAAGAGGCCTCTAAATGATAAAGTAAGTGGAAGGGAAAATTATGATAATAAAAACTTAAAGAAAAAGAGGGAGGGAAGTGTCAGGTACTGCCCCATGGGCTGACCTAAATGGGTGGGCAGCATGTAGGGATGTGATCAAAAACACTTCAGTGGCCATTTATAAGTTTGTTTCATGAAGACGTCTGTATTTACTTTGTATCTCCAGTTAGCCAGGAATCCCAAATTTTGTGAAACCTTTTGAGAGTTCTCCGATTACTCTGCGGGTCGACAATGCTATTCTGGCTGCTAATTTATTCTCAGCTCTTGTGAATATGTCTAGAGGTTTGATAGAAGGATAGAAGTAAGGGCCATGGGTCCATCAGGCAGAGTCTCCCTAGTTGTTTGGTTAATAAGTTTGTAACTTTAAGCCATAAAAGTTTGAGTTTTTGCAGGTCCTCCAAGAATGTATGAAAGAGCCCAGAAGTCACATACCAAAACAACCAGAACAACATTTTATAGGACTGTTCTTAGTGGTTTACATATATGGTGATGGATGTTAATACTTTCCATACATCTCACCAGTCAAAGGCTACCTCTGGTGGTCCCAAATCTTTTTCCCAGGCTGTAATGTGTGTAGGGAAATTTGTGTGGGTTGTGTAGTGATTGCAATGTATAGATCGGACATTTGGCCTTTCAAGTTTGGTAACCCAATACATCATCATTCTAACTCTGTGAGGGGGGCTGCACCTGCTTGTCTTACTATTGGTGTGACTTCTAGACTACAAAGTTGCCTATACCTAAATTAATGTAGTGAAGGAGGTGTGTTCAGGGATATCCGTGAATTCTATTGGTTTGTTTTGGGAGTATAAATGTAATATGTAGGCAATATCTCTTTCTTCGAAATGTGCAAAGAATTTAGGGGTCAGACCTGGTGGGAACATTTTGTTTCAGAGTATTGGTGTGAGGGGAAACACAAAGGATGAAAATGCAAATTTGTCTTTTACTCAATCCCATAGAACTAGTGAGTGATTAATCACTTGGTCCATGGGCAATGTGGTTTAGATAGCCACATGTAGAGAGAGACGTGATCTACTCCAAAAATAAGATTGTCCAATTCTACCCATCGTTTTTGCCCTGGTTGAGTCTACCATTGCTGGACTTGGGCTAGTTGGGCTGCAGTTAAATAATGGACGCTAGTGAGGCCCAAACCCCAGTGGAACACAGGAGCGTACATAACCGTTTTGCGAATATGTGGTCTTTGTCCTTTCGAAAATGAACCTGTCGAAAGGCAATTCTAAGACTCTAAAGTCAGTCCATCTAAGGGGCATTGGCAATGCTTTAAAGGTATATAAAAATCTGGATAATAAATTAATTTTAATGGAGGCAACCTTGCCCACCCATGACACTCCAAGACATCTCCGCCACTTAATCAAACTTGATTAAGACTCGGTTGGGTTGAAATGTTGCTGCTTGTGCCCCAGTAAAGCTGCTATATTTGCTACTACCCTGAGTGCCTAGACCATAATTTGTTCCACAGATCTGGAAGTGAGGCCTGGCAAGCCCTGGATCCGGAGCACCTTGATTGTTTGGTGAGTGCGGTATCCATAATCTCTTTACTATTGATGCCAAGGAAGAGGCATATCAAGATTAATTTTCCCCTAACTATCAGTCTTGTTTTTTGAGGGTGCCATGGACAGAACATCATATCACAAACAACAGAACCGCCTTGTGCATTGTCTGTTTCAGAGACTTTGTGATTTGGTCATATAGCTATAAGAGTTAACGAATTTGGATGACCTTCCCAAAACTGGGATGATTTGCAATTCAGCGGGAAATTAATATGCAAATCTAGTTATTACCTTGGTTGTTTGTCTGTTTGTTGTTTGTCGGTAACCTTCGGTATCCTAACCGTAACCTTCTGTTTATAAAACTTAAACGATAAAAACAAAAACAGACATGGAATAATAATCCTGCAGAATTTTTTTTTATCATTTTTCATACAAAACACAAAAGTAGAAAAAAAATGTGTTGCCACAAGTCCTCATTAAACCCAGTATAGTATATTATTCTGCTATCATAAATGTATCTTTTAGTGTTCTTTAATTAAAACGATTACACCTGAAATATTTAATGACACTTTAATCAGCCTTTTATGATGTCCTAGAATTCAGATTTTCCTCCCTGCATGCCACAAATATAATCTAATATTACTCACTGAAGGTTTTGCTTGCTTGACCCTTTAGAAATGAGTTAAAGCACAAGTATAATTTTGTCCACGTGGTGGCGATATAATCAACATAACAAATACATTGCTAGCTCACAGATTTATTCACAAAATCATGAAATGTCTGGAATTCAAATTGCACATTTGAGTTCACAGTAGCTGAAGGGAAACACAATTATAAGCGCTATATTTTCATTTCAGCTCTTGTGGCTTAAAATTAGAATGTCAACTATTCACACTTTATTGGACAATTTGTTAGATATCAATGTTACCTGTCCCTGCCTTGAAATGACCATTTTTACAGTAACGGTCAGTGTCAAAAGATATACAGTATTAAATGTATATTTCCAGGCAGGAATGTAGTGCAGCTGCACAGTATGAATTGTGGGATTGAAATCCCGGATTGGTATTACACAATGGCATTGAGTAGAAGTTGTTTATAATCTGTGTGGTTGTTAGCAACTAAAAGAGATCGATTATACCCAGTGTGGATCATCTGCTATCCATTCTTCATCTTGATGGATGGTAAACGTAGGTGAGTGACTGCCACTGAAGGTGTTACTAGGCAGTAATGTAAACACTGCCTTTTCCCGGAAACGGCATCGTTTACAGTGCTCAACCTCTAGGGACAGGTTACAGACACCAGAACTAATACATTAAGCTGATGTGGTTCTGGTCACTATAATGTCCCTGTAATGTTATTTTTCACACCTAACAAATACATATTTTGTTATGTAAAGGTGATAAGCAAACACTATATTCAAATCCTGGGACAATGTACCTTTAAACCTTAGTGTATGTTTGTATTGAAAGCAGGCAACAGACTGTGTTTTACATGACTGACACCAGGTAGGATTAGATTTACCATTGGAAATGCATCATGAAGGCTTTGGTGATTGTGGCCCCCATAAGAGTACTTGTGATGAAAGCCTCTGGGGGCTAACACACTTCTATTTCTTCCAGTCGCCTCCAGTGAAATGCTATGCTAAATCTTAATAGCTTCCTTTGGATGTCACCCACTGAATTGTGATATTTTTCTGGTTTATTTGAGAACTTTGGAGAATATGTGCGTTAATACACCCACTATGTTTGATGATTATTAATATTGTGACTCATATGTACTGAATCATACATTCATTTACTGGTCACTTCCTCAATTTCGGTTCTTTAAATGAAACCTACACGTTTCACGTAGGCCAGTTATATAAAATGAATAAAAAATAACTTAGTTTGTTGGTTTTAGATCTCTTAGGGTAGTTTGCATGAAAACAGATTTTAACGCCGACATGCTTCTATTTGCAGGCGTAGAAAACTCACAAAATGAAATCGATACGGAGAACGTTTGTAGACATTCCAGGGTTATAGGACTCTGGTGAATTCAAGGTGTATGGCTCAAGTGCTCATTCGTGGTAGAACAGATATTGGCAGGTACATGCTGTTTAGACTGGAACAGAAAAAAATATATACAGTTGCCCCCACCCCATCTTGTTTAGGTGGCCTATCCTAGTGAATGATAATACGTTAATGATAGTGTAATACAGTAAAGGGTAAACCAAGAAATAGGCAATATATCTGAACTTAAAGGGACACTATAAGCATCCACGCCACTTCAGCTCATTAAACTGGAAACTGCAATGTTGTCTACCAGACAGCCCCTAGAGGTACTTCACGGTCTGCATGAGGATATCCAGCGTCAACTATTTCCAAATAGGAAAGCATTGATTCAATGGTTTCCTATGGGGAGGGCCTAGTGCATGTGTGGCAATCGCCATGCATGCGCATTAGCACCCCCTTGTCAAGTGTCATCAGGAGGCGGAGCCATGAACCAGCACAGAAGGACATTGGCGCAGGGATCAGGTAAGTAAAGGATTCTCCACAGCATGAGTGGGGAGGCAGAGGATGCTATTGTGCTAGGAATACAGCTTTGTATTCCTGGAACTATAGTATCCCTTTAAGGTTAACCTCACTCCTAAACCAGGGGTAGAAGGCTGTGATAGGCGGAGTTGGATTGAGTATGTTTTCTGGTTAATTCCTACGGGGTATGAGTATAAATATCTTCCAAGTAGGAAGCTCCCATCAGATTCAGACAATTATTACAGACTGTCCCACAGTATTAGTTGATGCTCCCCAGTGCATCCTGTAACTACTGCTAGAACACACAGTAGGTGAACAGAGGTAACAGCGGAGCACATATACAAGGTATGACGCAAAAACGAATTTTAAATATCAGGTGTGCATGGGGAAAGCAGTGTTATTGCAGAGCAAAGTTGTAAAAGTAGAGCAATGACCATTGCAGTGGATTCTGACATTCACATGCTTTCTAAAGACTAAGAGTCAGGAATACAAACATATATTCCCAACACTATAGGGCTAGAGTGGCTGTTTAGGTGACCGGTCACATTGAAGGTGTTTTTACTCATCTTTTCTCCCACACCGTGCTGGTCTTGCTGTGCCTAACCCTTCTAGTGGCCGTCTGAGTGACTACCGCTAGGACTGTTACTAGCCAGCAATGTAAACATTGCCTATTCTATGAAAAGGCATAATTTACATTGGGGAAAAAAAAACTGCAGGGCAGCTTAATGTAGTGGTTCTCTTCAATATAGTGTCCCTTTAACCTATAGTAAGTACATACAAAAGTGAAGTAGTTGGTCCAGTTTGTATAGTGCAGATTACCAATCCTGGCTAATCACTGAACAGTCCCTACTGACAGCAGTCTAGGTTTGTCAGCAATCAATTAAAGGAAAATCCAGGCCCCCCTCAATTAGATTTAAGCATGTAGACCACATAATATAGAGCCCATCTAATTTAGAACTCAAACTCATTTGTATGAAGCCTGTAGAACGATTGTTCCACATAGCAATGGATTTTAGCCCCTTAAGGACACATGACATATGTGACATGTCATGATTCCCTTTTATTCCAGAAGTTTGGTCCTTAAGGGGTTAATCACATTCCACTTCCAACCAGGGAATACAGCATTAAAACTATTTGCAGTAACATTGTTAAGAACATTCTGTATGCACTAAAATTAGTATTTTGGGGGAATTTTTATATAGGATAGAAAATTGCACTTTGCGATACTTATTGTAATATGGATTCTGGGTAATTTTTAATATGTAGAACACCATTTTGTTTTAGGATTTGATTTTATATGCAATATTGATGTTGCGCTTCATTATTTAATTTTCTTTTTATGCACACTTGGCATATGGTCTCATTGTCAATTCCACTTACTGCTCTATTAGGCTTGATTGTGTAAGACTACACAGTGTTTGCGGTAGAAATTCTGTGTAGAGTTCAGTGTAGTGTATCAAAACTAGTAAATTTGTTACCATGACAATTGCATATACATTTGACACACTGTATCCTTTAGATTGTAAGCTTCCTAGCTAAGCACTTTGTATAAAAGCTTCAATGGCTAGTTATCAGCTTACGGGCAGGGCTCTCTCTTCCTCTTGTATTTGTCTGTGTATATTGTACAGCGTTACAGAATCTGTTGGCGCTTTACAAATACCAGTAAAAAATAAAAATAAATAAGATACAGGGATGTATGTGAAAAAGCTAAATGTTCAACAATTGCAGTGCTAAACCAAGGAATTAAAAAAATAAAGATATTCAGGGGGATTTCCAGATTGGACAATTCCTAGTTTACAGAAAAATCATATTCCATGTTTTATATGTATTTCCTATACATTGGTTAAACATGTTTTGCACCCCCTTCCTTCTCTTCCCAACTGAAAAGGAAACTTTTTAAATTAACAAAAGATACTTTATTGGCACAATAAAAAAACAAACATTTTCAAAAAAACATTATTGCATTGTACCCTGTAATATATTGACAGATGACCCAGAATGACCATTCTTGAGTCTCCAAAAGGGTTAAAATGTTCTTAATACAGTTGTAGTAAGATTAACCTCATTGTCAAAGGAGCAGGAACATATGGAAAACATTTTCCAGCATTGAAAAGGGTTGCAACGATCCAGTGTTATAACTTCAGCCCTCGAATGGGCAATGTAACAAGTCTCATGTACATATCCAACATCTCCACCCCCAAATGGATTAGACTATTCACCAATTTAAAAAGGATTCTGTCCCAGAATAATGAACAAACACTGTTTGAACCAAGAACATTATTTCTACATTTAATGGTTAACGCACCATTACATGTGAAATTATAGTAGACCATCTACTGTGACACCATCGGCAATTCAAAAGGAAACCGACAACTGTATATTTAACTATTTATAATCTAAAATTATCTTAACATCTGAAAAGGATTGGGAAGATTTTAGGCATGGCAATACTACTTCACTATTAAGCAATGCTCATTTTTATAGCCGTTTCCAGCAGAGGGCGTAATCGCATAGGCTGTGGCTCTTAACAGCTAACTGGAAGATAGGGAATTAGTTCAAAAAAGATCCACAGGTTATGCCTATTATCCAGATCCCATAGTCAAAACAAACCAGAAAATCTGCCATTATCAAATGCCCAAGTTACTCTATCACAGGCTGTTAGGAGGATGTTGAGTTTACCTCTTTGAGTTAACAGAGGAAGTTCTGTTAAATTTTTGGGGAATTTTCTTAGCCTTTAACAAAGACTATAGTGCTCTTCCTATAGTCTCTGGGATATAGGTAGTCATAAGCACAGGTGCACATGAACTATCATGGCCATTTAATGAAAATTAGAAAGGAAATAAAAATCACTCCCATTCTAAAAATATATTGCAGAGTAGAGGCACACTTTAGTGTAATTAGCTAGAACATCCTGTTGTACAATTTCTCCAACTGAGATTAATTGAATTGCTGAAAGCCTTGTGTAGGAAGTGTATTAGACCCTCAGGGTGCACAACTCCCCAAAATAGACTTTGAAGGAAAAAAAAAAAAAAGTTAAAGAGAGCTTTTGGATTAAACAGAGATGGGGGAGGTGCCCTTCTGTTTACGTGCCAAGGCTCCCTGGAAGCCAAAACAAAAACTTCAAGGAAATTACCTGCACGTAAAGGGATATTTCAGAATGGAATTTGTTACCAGGGACGTATTTTTTCCCCCCCTTTAACTATATTTTTAATCTTTTCGATTCTCAAAACATAGTAACAATTTTGAGACAGACAGCGTCACATCTGAGCAATGTCTTATTAGCGCAGCTTGTGATTCTAAACAATCAATGGTGCATACAGTGTCACGTGACTACCCTAAAATTCTCAGTGGTTGACTAGCTGATACAAATGCAGTAGTGTGTATTCAAACAGCAGGTATACTATGAAAAATTGGACAATATATTTGCTACAGACAAGCAAAATCTGTCCTGTAATTTGAGTCATTAAACAGTTGAATCCTTGACAGATATACAGGCATAGAAACATAATCTACCCTTGCAGTGAGTGTGGAAGAAAGGGAGAGTGGAGCTGTACCGGTCCTACTATGATCTGGAAACCTAGGGAATTAGATCAGTAATGTCCTTACTTCCAGCTGGGGCAAATACAGAATGAAATGAAGCATGCATCATCTATTCTCAAGGAGAACACATCCTAAATATAGGTCATCAGTAAACTGCACAATATGTTTTTGGTTTTATAAAGAACTGCAGCGTCCTTAAAAGCTTTGGATACAAACAATTGTAGCCAGTCAGATGTCCTTATGATGTATGAATATTGCACATCAGAAAAAAAAAAAAAAAAGAATCCTTATATAAAATCAGTCCATAGGAATCCGTATCAGCATGATGACGTCGCTGTGATGGGGCTGAGTTTTAATTGGTGGACAGGTGACATGAGAGGGACAGTGTTCAAAACGGAGCTTGGAAAACTGAAGCAAGAGTTCTCAAAAGTATTACCAATGTTCATTTCTTCACTGAAGAAGGACAAAGAGTCTCTCTTGCAGGACACTACAGGGGCACTTTGCATGGAAGAGAAGACCTCAGATTCATAGTGGAGTAACTGGCCCATGAAACTGAAGTTGGGTGAGATGAGGCTCCGTCGCTGTTTGATATAATCAAAGGCTTCTTCCAGACGGAATCTTTTGGTCTTCATAAGGTAAGCAATGCAGATGGTTGGGGACCTGGAGATGCCAGCCTCACAGTGAACAAGGACCCTTCCTCCAGCACGTCTCACAGTGTCTGTTTAAAAAAAACAAAAAACAGAAGAATGTTAAATGAAGCATGTCAAGTACAGACTAGCCAAAAAAAAAAAAAAAAAGACAGAACATCAATGAGAGATTTTAGTATGGCAGACAAAGAATATCTCACTTAAAGAGGGACTTGAAAGGCACTTTTGACAGACTTGAAACCCATATACTGAATAAAGCTTGGAAGACATTCTTTGGGGTTTAACAAATCGGTTACTTTTTTAAATTTATATCCTAAAATGCTTTCTCTAACATGTTAAAGTCAAGTAGTTAAAAGCCAACAAGAGATTGAGTTACCATGGTAGCATGTCTGAGAAGGTACATGAAAGTGGTTTTGGGTTGTTGGACATCTACATACCACAGTAATCATATGTCCATTAGCCAAGTTTATGGGGAAGTACAGTCTATTGTTACAAGAGGAAAGCTTGCTGGAATTAATGGCTACTACAGACAAGAAGGCTATTTACAGGGAGGGGCAGCTGTAATTACAGACTGTGCGGTTTATTTTATCTTCTAAATACATGCTCTAAGGGTCAATATGGGCAGAATTACCTGCTTATGAACATGCCCATTAAATTAATTATTCCCTTTTCTGGTTTTAGTCTCTCTGCAGATGTCAGATTGTATTTTACAATGTCGTAAAAACATGTTGTGGCCTCCCACCCACCATCAACCTTAAACATGGACCCTTACTGTGAGAATTGTAAGGTAGAAAGAAAAAAACAAAAACAAAAAAACCCACACTACAGAGAATTAATTTTAACAGCTAAATTTTCTTTAAAAAAAATAGAAATAGGATTCATCTCAGAAATACTGATAAATATAAAATAAAAAATAAAGCAAGTGAGTGAAATTGGGCACAACTGGAAAGGGCATTTGTGAAGTTCAAGCGTTGTCACCTTTGGAGTGTAAGCACAGTGGGGGTCCTTACCAAGTGTGCTTTAAACATCTTTTTCTAAAAATATTTATTTGAAACCGTGTTTATGATTTGTATCATCCATGTTTGTATATTTACTACATAAACAAAAACAGACATTCCCGCAAGTATTTTGTTTAATGTGCCATTATTTTAAGGATCTAAGTGGGGTCAAAATGCCAATGATACAGTCATAAGACATGGCATTAAGTCACCATAGAAGGTCCATTGAGAATGAATCTTACCAATAAATTCTATGGCCTCCTGAAAGTGTCTGCTAATGTCTGCTGTGTGGTTGTCATCCACCGGGATCCATTTATAAATGTACTGATCTTTGTAAGAGTCTGTGCTTTTCCTGGAGACATTCAGTAAGGCAGTGATATGAAGGTCAGACAGGAAGTCACATGTGGAAGCGTGATGGGCACTGCCTAGGTAAAGGAATGGAAGAATCTCGACTGGGCTGCCCTAGAAGGAAAAATAATAAAATATGTATATTAGATATGTAGGATATAAAATCAAAAATGATCTCAACTGAGGTGAATTACCAATACATTTAACAGCACTTTGGAGTAAGAGGGGAATACAGTTTCAAAATGTTGTTAATAGCAGATTTGGAAGAATTCAATTGTGTTTAGCAAATAAACCACATACAAGTAAGCCCCTCTTGCTTTATCCCGTTTCCAGATAATGTTGTCCAATAGTAACTAGGATGCGTCACTCATTATCAAAAATAAAACCAAATAAGGTTGTTTTTTTTCTGGTTTGTTTTCTTTGCATTTGAAACCTAGAATTATAAGCCGGTGACTCAGCAGTCCCCCACATATGAGGCAAGTCTTTACCAACCCACCCACTGGTGACTACATGATCACTTCTTGGACAGACCCAAACCATCGGGTCACCTTAGGGTATTTTTGCAGTAGATGGCTTTAATCCCTTCAATTCTATCCAACTATCACTGTGCAAGTCTACATACTGTATCCCATGCGTTATTGGAATATATTGCCATCAAGCATTTTTTTTGGAAAAGGATGAAAATAGAGGTTTCATTATATAGAGTTTGCTCCATTTTATACAATTTCACTCTACAGATTTAAACATTTTGTTCTGCTGGAGTGCCAGATTTAGCCTGTTCCCTGACCATTCAATGCAACTCCCACAACACTCAAACTGTCCGATATGAGGGGGAAGTTGTTTTATTCTCAAAACAATTGAGTACACATGGCCTTGTTTAGGAGAGATAGATAGATATAAAAAAAAAGAAAAAAAAACCAAAAAGAAAACACCCATCTGTAGAACACCCAACAACAAACCCCCTCCAAACGTTTAACAATTATAGTTCCTAATAAATAGACCCTTCTTCCAGAACATAAAGGGTAACCAGAATTAAGAGAGAATATTCCCCAGTAAAACAAGATTCCTTTAGCCCTGCAAAGATAATCTCATAATCCTAGAGAAACGGCCAACACTAACTAGGAATTAACCAACTGCCTCCCAAACTGTTATATTACTGCCGGGGCTATGAATTATAGAAGTCACTACTGTGGTTTAATAATTCAGTTATAAGGGGGAAAAGGTATTTGTATTTTACATACTGCCATTAAAGTAGTATTTTATGTTGGGGGTGGGGGTAAGCATATAACAGACCAAGAGGTAGATAGAATGGATATTGTACTGTAAGCCTAGAGATTATATTCCTATGGCTCCAGGGCTTATAAACACACAGAGCTCCAACCAGGGACTGATGTCAAGGCATCTTTACATACACTGAGCTCTAACAATGGATAGCTATAAGGTATATACACACACACAGTGCTCTAACAAGGGATAGCTATAAGATATATTCACACAGTGCTCTGACAAGGGATGAGTCACACATGAAACAGATTCTGAAGCATCTCCCCACCAAGGTCAGTCTGACACAGCAGCACATCATGAATGGCTAAGAGCAATAACTATTGATCCCGGAAACAGGTCTACTCATTGCATGAATGATGATTTACTAATGGGTCAAAAAGGAAATCAACAAGACAATTGACTCTCTGTACTGGGAGAGTAACAGGTTCATTTTACTAGGTTTTAACTTTGTGGGTTTTTTTTTTTATTTTTTTTTTTTATTTCAAAAGGTAAAAAATAAAAGTTAAAGTAGCAGTTTTCTAAAGCTTGCTTTAAGGGACACTTACTGAAAAAAATTCCTCAGATCCTATCAAAGGAAACTAGCATTATTAACACTTTAAGGCCAGGGTTAAGCAATCATCACATTCTCAGTGCTAGTAGGTGGTTGGTTCTGAAGTAGTTAAATTAATGCTTCTTTACTAAAATCCTCCACAATAGTAAAATCCCTTTGTACAAGATGTGACAATTCTTCAAATTCTATCACAAAGTAGCTTTTCAGCTATAAATCTAGCACCAAATTCAGGCCAATGAGACACTGCAAAAAAATGCCAACAGCAGCTCTCACAGAATCTCATGTGGACAAATAAAAACACAGGCAGTTTATTGTAACAAAATGCAAAACTCAAACATTTAAAAAGAATCACAAGGTATAAATGGTTATATTGTGGTTCAGTCAGCTGCTGGCCGTGGATAAACATATTTACATATGACTGACCTACAAGCAGTGAGGAACATTTAGACATTGTATATCCCAGTAACATACCTGATCATATGATGGCTTGTGGAAGGAAGTCCGCTTTTCACAGAGGATGAGGTTTTGCTCGGTTTCATTTTCCTCTGCAGTCAATCTTTTCTGATCAACGCAAAATTCTGGGTATTCAGAATAAAATGACTCATATCCTCCTAGAAAAAAAAAAAATAAAAAAATGTATATATTAGTTTATTGTAATCTAAAATTCCATTTTATCATAAAACAAATCATATTGTGGTAAAGTACATTCAGTCCTTGTACGAGTTCTCTTAATGAGATACAGTAATTAATTACAGGATTGGTGACCCTTTCGTGTCAACATATCCTGTCCCTCAGCAACAGGACAGTTATGCAATAGATTATTTAACATTCAGTGAGATAATGAATATCTAGAAGGACTGGGTGTTGGGATACCCCGTCCAAGACATTTAGAAGATCATTGAGGAATCCTCTATGGTGTGCCCCATGGTGTATCCATGGATCATTTCCTGTAGGTGCCGATTTATCCCCAGATCAGATTATTGCTCCATATGTTGTGATGTAATTAGGGCTCTGGGGATATCAGGTTAGGTTAGAAAAGGCAACTAAATGGGAATTTACAATTCTCATGGATAATAGGTCTCTTCCTGTATTGGGGAGGGGGGCCAGGAAGGTAACAGGACAAAAAGTGGGGTGGGGGGATAATTATCCATTACTTGCACAGCCAAACCTCATCGCCGTGTAAAGGAGGAAAAAAAAAACCAAATAATTAGCTAAACGAGCAAGACAACGATACTCTGAGCATATACATCAGCTAGGTGCAGATAGCCGTAGTGACAAGCGATATAGAGAATATACATATATTAATTTTTGTTTCCTACATTCATATAGAGCATCGACCTAAACCTCACAACTGTGCAACAGGATATTGTAATTGTTAATTCAGTATCGTGGTAGTACAACAAAAATGAGCCATTTGCAGAGAACCCCATGGAAAAGAAAATTTAATTATTTACAGGATAATAAATAAAGATAATTAGGGTTAAATAAAATAAATAAAAAAAGCTAATGTCAACAAATATGATAAAACATTTCTATACAAGGCCACGGAAATAGTGGCTTCATAATGTAAACAGCGATTAGACTATGACAAAGAGGGAAAGATTTGATAATAAACCTAAACCGACGGAAAGAATGGATCTGACAAAAAGCAATACATTTAACTTTCTAGAAGAATGGACGAGTCCAACCCATGAATCAAATGGATACATTATAAATCCTCCAAGCACAATCCAGGTGTCCTTGCAGTTAGGGCAAGGGGTCAAATCAATCTCAAAACCACTTTACTACTGTTCCACTTAACACCCAGCCCCCGATTTAGGACATTTACTATACACATGGGAACATTTGCATATAAAGAAGTGATGAGAGAGCTAAAACAGACACAATTTGACCTGCAAATAACCTTCTTTAACAGCCCTCATCCAACATAGAAGATGCCCCGCAGGGGGGTTTAATGTCTTTAGTGTCCCCTTTAACTCCTGGGGAATAACACATGTAAAACAATGTAACATGCCCAGTTACAAAGCTTGAGGGGTTTAGCTATTCAAAGCTTGTACAATTGTAGTCATAACATAAATAGAAATGGAGCTCATAGAATAGAATGCCATTATTACCCCAATAATTAGCTTAGTGCCAGACCCATTGTTTAAAGAGAAGGCAAAGGGGATAATAGGAAATGGCAAATAACTGTCACTTCCTTCAATTCCCTCCACATTGAGGGGAAATAGATTTACTACAGCACCAGCTTTGCCACTTTACAATCAGACTCCTAGTTTAAGTAAATACGTTTAAACTTCGTGGAGCTATAAATACGAGGTCAGCAGCTGGTCACGTAAGGCTGTCAATAAAAAGGACTTGGTGAAATCTCACTGTATGTCAGGATTCAACATGAGTTGGGATTACCAAATTCACCAATCTATGAATAAGCCTTGAGAAACTGGCTTTTTTTTTAGAAAAATATTTGTTTTCAAATATTGAAGTAAATACATATCTGACCCAAACAATTCGGCATTTTAATCCTCATTGTATTAGTGGGTGCCCTGTACTCCCCCTACTTACCCTTTAGGAAGCATATCTTGGGTCCAGAAGACAGGCTGCCCAGGGTATTTAGGGCAATCTGAGCTGTGCTGTCCTTCTTCAGTTTCTGACACCTCTGTGTTCTCTCATCCAGGATTACAATCACTGAGATCTGGCCACCCAGCAGCCGTCCCCGGACTCCCTCATCTGGCACCACGAAATGCAGAGGGACTGTCCCCCCCCGAGCCCTGCGGAGGAGCACTGAGTTGAGGTTGACATTGAGGGATCCCCTGACATTGGAGGTAGAGTAGGGCAGGTAGGGTCTGCAGTCCAGGAGCAGGCAGCGGGCATGTTCCTTCCTGAGCAGCTTATGCAGCAGCCGGCAGGCTATGGAAGTCACCTTCATGTCTGAGAGCCCAGTGCCTGCTGTCTGATTACTATGAACTGAGCGCAGTCAGAGCTGTCTGGGCTTTAAATCCCCACCTGGCGGCCACATGCGCTACACTTCCGCCTAGGGGGATCCCGCAGCTACTGCTCGCAGCTCATTGGTCCGCCCGCCTGTGACGGCAATGCCCATATTAGGAGAGTGACGTTACCAGTTGCCCCATTCATGGAGTGATGGCTGGACATGCCCACTGCTTGAAGGCGATTACCCGCCTACCCTCTCTCTGAGTCAATCCGAGAAAGAGAGGAGGCTCTGATTGGCTGATACACCTGTCAATCGTGCATAAATCCCTCCCACCTATTCCAGCTCTGCTCTGATCACAGGCTCATTCAGCACCTAGTATTCTGCCAATTGTATCTATACATCAACCTGTCCTGCTCTGTTACCCCCCCCCCAGCTCTGCTCTCAGTTACCCC